CACCACCCCGCACACACACACACACACACACACACACACACACACACACACACACACACACACACACACACACACACACTCTGACTCTTAGAAAGTTCAAGTGAGGTGGGTCATAGTTAGGTTGAGAGAAAGAAGTAAAATAAACGTGACGGCTAAACAAGCCTGAGTGCAGCAAACTGAAGAACAACTGACTGAGAAGTAACATTTTAATAGAACTAGGTACATATCTGAGCACAGTACAGTCGCCTTGCAGGTTCACACTCTACTTTTAGAGAGATTAAATCAGCGCATTTTATTTTATTACCTCCATTTATTCACATACACATCAGAGCTCGTCTCCATCACTTGAGCTGCTGTTATCATAAGGCCAGAGGAGCCTGAGCGTGGATGTTTCCACACATGACTCACAGGAGAGGGGTAAAGATGGCGAGTGCATTTACTCCTTTTTACCATTTGGCTATAGAGGTGCATCTCAGTTACTAGATTTCAATCTGTGCTTCTTGGACACATCCATGATTAGCTTTATAGATAATTAAAAAGTTGTGCAATCTGCCTATGAAGTGACTGAGTGTAAACTGGGTCACTGAGTGGAACAAGAACAGTTATATAAATGCACTTAAAGATCTTCTGAGCAACGATCTGTTTTAATCTTTCTTCAAACCTCTCCAAAATGTTTTTTTTTTTGGCCTAAAACTTCACCACAGCACATGATAAGAGGGTTAGTTATTAGTCAACAGTAACTCTGAACAGCTAATCTGTAGCACATCTCCCACCGCTGCTAATTCAGGAAGCGCTCCTCTGGTAGGGTCAGATCGGTCAGAGGGCTCACTGCAAGGGAAAAGTGAAAATGTTGTTTCAATATTATTATGTAAACTACCTGCTCTGCAGTCGTCCTATCATACCATCAGCTATAGCACTAAATCTACCACTCGAATTCTTGTAAATGTTCCTAGGATGAACTCTGAGCTTGGAAAAACAGCTGTGAAAAACCCTGGGCCTGGAACGAGCTGCAGAACACCATTACTGTAGAAACACTGCCTTCTGTTACAAACCACCCTGAAGAAAATGTGCAGCTGTTTTACATGACCCTTGGCCTGAGGTCAAACATATTATTCATAACACCGGCATGGCCTATTTACTTGTATTTTTGCTCTTTCCCCTTGTACTTTATTTTGCATTGTGCACGTTTTAACTTGTCAAATAGATTTTCCATGGTTTTTTTCCGCCATCTTGACCAGGACTCCCTGGAAGAAGAGACCTTGTATCTCAGTGGGACCTTCCTGGTTACATAAAGGAGCAAATTTATGTAACCAGGAACAAATAAAAATGATAAAAACGGAGGCAGTTGTGTGAGGAATGAAGACGAGAGCTTCAGGAAGCCCCAGGCTACTCACACACCTCACACATGACTGCATGAAGTGGGCGCTCCTGCTGGACTGTAGACTTTGGAAAGTTACAAACATGCCCGTATTTTCTTTCAGCTAAATGATTCAGGGCTTTAATGGAGAGTTTTTCCATCTCTGTTCCAGTAAACATCCCCTCCTCACTGGTTAAACTGGCAGTGCTTATCTTTGTCTTTTGGAACACAGGTTGCTGTTGGTTTGTTTTCTTCATCAGTACAGGATGTGATCTTGTGCCAAACAGATCTGAGCTGACTAGCAAATCACAGTTAGATGCAAATCTGTCTACACTGAGTTACCCTCTTTTCTGCTGTGTCAGTTCTGCATCTGGCCTGTAGAGAACAAAACCGACGCTGCCTGTTGTGTGTCTGTTTTATTTGCCACAGGGGACCTGAAGCTTTGTCTCGGGTAGTTTTATCCATGTGAAGAGTTTAAATACACACAGGTTGCTGCCACAGTAAAGCAGGATACAGTCGGCTTTGCAGAGCAGAATAAATCCTGAAAATGAATTATTGATTATTGCACTCCTATTGCCTCAGCTCTGTGTATGTTTACTTGCTCTGCACTTCACTAATCCTCCACTGAACACGACACCTTGATATTTTGTACTTCAGGTTTCACTGACAGATATCAGCACTTTCATTATCAAATCAAATCCAATTAAAATTGATTTATAGCACTTTAAAAACAATGTCTGGTTCACCAAAGTACTTTACAAGGGCAAGGTAAGGACTAAAATAAATAATATCAACATAGGAACAAACACACAAACTAAACAGAATCAACAGCTAAAAGAAGGAAGCATCAGACAATAACCCCATATTCACTTTGCTTCTGCCCTGGTCTGCTAAATGTTCACCAGCTGGTCACAAACTGTTCACCTGCTGCTGCACCGTTGGTTTTTCAGACAACATGCTTAACTGAAAGATTGTCAGAGAATAGTAAGAGTTTACATGAGCTAAATGTGCATTGGTGTGTTGTATTTTTTGTTCAGAGTAGTTTGTGATGGAGCTGTTAGTTGAAAAACTGAATAAATGCGAGTTGACTGAGTTCTGAGTTGGCGGCTTTGGGAAGGATCGGAATGAACAGCGAGGGGTTAATGTGAACTAACGTGAGCTGCGCTGTCACAGACTGACTGAGCTACAGGGCTAACACTAACACACATACACACAGCAAGGCACAAGCAAAATCTCTGATCCACACACACAACTGAATTACAGAGAAAAACATTCACAGAGTAAAGTGCACACATCCACGTGCGTCACCTTGAGAGAATGTGACACCACTGAACAGAAAAGTCTGACCTTACCCTCAGCACCAGCGCTGCACTCAGAGAGCAAATCATCAAATCATCCACAGCATCTAAGAGCCAACACACACACACACACACTTCTTAGCTCCACTTTATTACAAATTGGGTCTTATTTTTAATGTTTTGGGCTCTAACATGTTGGACCCATATCACTGCATATTGGTCCAACATGCCAACAAACATGTGGTCTACTTAACCACCAGAAGGATGAGAGAATGCCACATCCGCCCAGTTCACCTCATCTTTAGAAAAGATCTATTTTCATTTTTAATCATTAACCTGAAAAACCACATGTATTTAGAAAGTTCGTGTAGACTGACAAATATGTTCAGACACTTTACGATATATGTTTGTTAGCTGACATGCTAGGAATCAGGGAGAAGACTGACACAGGTTTTGTCTCTGTTCATCTTTGCCCTCGATACAGAGACAAGTCTTAAGCCTCGACAGAAGATGCGAGTTAGTGCACGTCAGATTTGTTACCGTACTTTGCTATAGCTAAGCCGCCATAGCTTCCCCCTGGTTCCAGTCTTTGTGCAAAGCCAGGCTGAACTCGTATTAACTGACAGTACACTGATGCAACAACAGATAAAAATCTTCTGACTCCCAAAAACAATAAACACAGTGCTATAGTGGTGACATTTTTCAACCAGCTTCAACACAGAGCAAACTTAAATTTCCTTGTGCCTTGTTTCAGAAGAACAAACTGATTCACTTTTCCACAAAGATCCTGACAAACACCAAACACGGATGATGATTTAAGACCAAGCAACAAACTGTGTGGTTGCACGTGTAGTGTGTGCACTGTACTCTTGTACTGCAAAGGCTTACAAAATGTTTTATAAGTTACAGCTACTGTGAAACTTTGACATAACATATATCCATGAATGTGTGAGCAATAACTACTCTATTTGCAGTTTAAGCTAGAAGAAACAAAACATCTTAAACAGTCAGGTTTAATCAGGTCTGCCTGCATTAACTGTAAAACTGGAACCACACTGGACTCTTAGCAAACAAAAGAATAAAACTACCACACTGTAATTTAAACAAACACAAGCTCTCAGCTTAATGTCCAGAGATCTATATGTTAGATACTGCAGTAATATCCAGGCTCAGACCTACCGAGTAGCTGCAGCTGGTGTTCTCTTATAACAGCACAGCGCTGCATTCACACATGCAGATTCATGTCCAGTGGTGGTGTACTAATGTGTCCTTTATCTAACAAAATATAAAACGAGTGATATGTTTCAAACTGAGATTAAACAAAACCTGAAAACTCAAGCACACGTTCTGATGTTTGTTACATCTGAGAATGCCTGTACCCTCCCAAAACAACTTGTTAAACAGTGACAGGAGAGTAGACAGGGTTTGAACTCCATTCTGTTTTCACACAGCTGCTTCTGCCACTTGGTGTCTGTGCAAACATAACCCAAACCATAAATGACTTAGAGGAAATACTGAAAGTGTTCATTTAAGCAGCATTTCTCAGCCGCTCCTCCGCCTGCAGGGCTTTGAGTGTGGCCGCCTGGAAACACGGTAAGCCAGGTTTTATGGACAACTGGATCTTTACTTTCCTAACAGTGAGCCTGCTACTGGGGGCAAAAATGAATCAACTCAAGTTAGCAAGTGAGTGTGAATCTTTGTACTGAATGTACCAACTAGAATCAAGGAGGAGACTTTAACATTTTACCACATCTAAACTGTAAGAACCAGAACACTGTGCACACTGTTGATCAATTACTGGGGTGAAGTTCAGGAGGTAAACAGCAGCAGAGATATATATATATATATATATACTGTCTATAAGCACAGCCCAGGAAACGTGAGCCAGAAACAGGATTTCTGGTTCAATCACAGTCAGATAATGATGTCAGAGTGCAAGACGTCAGGAGAAAGTTCAAGTGAAAAGTGGGTGATTTAAGACAAGCTCAGGGTTAGTTACTATTTTGAAGTGAAGCTAGTACAAGAAAAGTCAGAAAAAAAATGACACACTGCAATCATGCAGTTTAAGATGCTTGAACAGGGCTGGTTCAAGATGTAGTCTGATGAATCCAGGTTCAGATACTTTAATTTAGACCTAGATGAAATTGTCTGACAGACCAGATTAATGACCACAAACACAAACCAAGCAAAACCTACAATCTGTTCAGCCGCTCAAAAGCCTAAATCTTTTCATGCAGTTCTTTTATTGACACTGGAAGGAACAAAACCCAGTGTCTACAGTGTTCCTGCGCTCCTTAATTATACACGTGCACATGCCTGAGACATGCAAACATTTACACGAACACAGACTAAACGAGTGAGCAGCCTGAACAGTGTTGGATGCGTCATGTGAGCATGTGAGTGCTTCCTGTGAAAGCAGTCCATGCAGCAGGCTTCTCTTTCTAGTCTGACAAGACAAATAATTTGTTTTGACTGCTTCAATTACAATAATCAAGTCTATTCAAAAGGACCCCTGCTGTGCGAGTGTGTGCTTCTGTGTGTGATAAGAAATCTGAAAACAAAAAGAGAACACAGGGAGAGCTGCAGATACAGGAGCACGTGGACGTAGATAAATATGTAAATGATTAGTTTTTGTGAACTATGGGTCATCGAGTTCGAACAGCTGAATAGAAGTGACAAAGTCACAGTGGCCCCTGTCACTGCATCACACAATGTGAAGGTTTGGGACAGATCAATCAATATATTGGTGATTTAGCTATTCTTAGATCCTTATGAGCAGTTAAGTAAAACTGTTTGTCCTCAGGGCGGTGCTAGAATTAAGGCTATGGGGTCGTTAAAAGCAATAGGGTTCACCCTCACAGGAGCAGGAACTTCAGCAGTAAATTTCATAGCAATCAAACTATTAGATTTTGAAATTTTCCATGTACAGGTGTAATTATTGGCCCTGATTGTGATGCTTGAGAAAAGGTCAGGTGGTCACCGGGTTCATCCCCCGGGGAACATAAATAGTCAGTATCTTGTTTAGGAGCCAAAAACAAACAGTTAACCTGTGCTAAATGGATGTTTTTGATAAACTGGGGGCAACAACACTGACATATTATCCCCTTGTTAAGTTGCAAACATGTTAGCAAACAGCTAGTTACACAGCAACAGGATCATTCCTCTGGAGAGTTCACTGAACACATCTAGTCCAGCGTTCCCTCTCTTTGAGCTCCAGTTTGGCCTCCACCACCTCCTGAGGAAAGTTCACAGTGGCTGAAAACAGCTGCCTGCTTCTGCTGGAAATGAGATTTATGTTAGCACTGAACCAGGAGCCACGACTATGAGCAACACCTCTCACATTACATTGCATTTAATCCACTGTTAATACTAAAATATTGTTTAAAATAAAGGAGTTTTAAAGCTTGTGATAAGGAGAGGCAGAACTGGATGTGTTGTATGGTGAAGTCAGGTGTGATGAGGAGAAACGCAGGTCGAAACTGAACTTCACACGGTCGTTCAACAGACAGTGAACGCCTCAGACTGGCTGAGCAGAGCGCCACAGGCTCATCGATGGTACAGAATGGAGGAGATCAAGCTGGCTGCTCTTTTCCGCTCCATCAGACACACAAATAGTGCTCCTACACATGTGAGTGTTCTCAGAGGCACAGTCCTTCACCTCAAGCTCCAGAGATCTATCCCTGGATCTGATCCTGCAACCTGCTGCACCCAGTCAGCGTGGCTGTGCTACTGAGAATACAGGAGCTTCAGGTGGTATCACAGCGACACCACATGCTGAGAAAAACTCAACAAGATGTGGACTGTCCCCTATAGCCAGGTTTACAATGTGCAGTAGAGGAGAGTGTGAGAGTATGTTTGTGGCTTTTGTGAACTTGCAGGCTGTGATTACCTGGGAGAAGCAGGAGGCAAGGGAGCTAAAAAATAAATGTATTTATTGAAAGACAGTCAAGGAGGAGTGTGGCAGAAATACAGCAGGAAAAATGAAGACAGAGATCTGCTCGATCCTGAAAAATTCATCTCAAGGCAGCAGGGCACGCCTAAAGCAAGTTTGGCTTTCAATGATTAATTTATCTTTACACAAATCCCACAGGAGGAGGGTGTGTGTCTGTTTGTGTGCTCCTGCCTCCATCACGTCTCCCTGCAGGATCGCTGTAGCCGAGAGCAGCCTGGCTACAGTGAAACAACACAAAGTGCTTATGGGTATGTCCATACAATTACATATGGACTGTGTGTGTGTGTGTGTGTGTGTGTGTGTGTGTGTGTGTGTGTGTGTCAGACACAGAGACTGTACACCTGCATGCTTGATATACAGCAGGTATCTTGTACTGATTTAAGGGTAAAGTTGGCAATATTCCACATTTTTCTTGTCAACAAATCAACAAAAAGACCCAAACCAACAATCTGTTAGTCTGCCTCTGTCTGTAGCTGTACACCCCAGGTCCACCGATTTCCACTGAAGATGCAGGAATTTAAAATGGCTCAAAGATAAAGTTTTGTTTTGTAACAATTAGAAACTGACAGTGTGCTGAGAACCAGGCCAACCAGGAGGAAACATCTGTTGGGGACTATTTTCAGTGGTGGATGAATCCACATTTGGTGCCCAGCAGGATGTGGGATGTGGGGCAGAGTCGGAATCAATTACAGAGCAAAATAATGAGTCTCACTAACATGGTTCAAAAGGTCTTCTAGTGAATCTTAAGTGTTCTTCTTAAAATATACAGTGAAAGATTCATTTTCCATCTTGAATATTATTTCATTATTTACTTGGTAATGAAGGTTTTTCAAACAGTTTGATTGTGTGAATTCTTGATATTTATGCTTTCGAACATTGGTTTAATAAACCCAGAGTTGGGGCAGATCAATGTGATGGATTCATTCACTTTGCTGCTGAGCCTCAGACAAACTCAGCCCCTCCTGACTGAGGACATCATGTAACACAATCCTGGCTGTTTTCCATTCTATTCGTGTATTCCCAGGGGGTGGAGTCTGTCCAAGCTGACGCTGCGAAGCTGCCCACGCCTGGACAGGTCAGAGGCAGACAACCATTCACACTTATGGACAATTTAGAGTTACAAACTGGGGTAACTGCTCACCCGTCTTGACCACCTCCTGCTCTCTTTTACAAAAGTCTCATACCAGTTAAATAGCTGTAGGTAATCTGATAATTATTAAACAGCAGGGTGCAGATTTGGATTCAGGATCAGTGTTTAGCCTCTCCCTCAATGGAAGGCAGTGACTAGAGAGGAAAAGGTTATTTTCAATCGGGATAAACCTTTCTAATGTTTCATCTCCAGTCAGATTCTATCTGGTACGGATGAGGCTCAGACGTGTCCCCCGGTGGGAAGCCTGTTACAGCAGCACAGTAATGTCTCTGGTTTCAGAAACATACATTCAACAATCACAAATGTATGGTAAGGGTGTCCGGATAGTTTGACATATAGCTGCAGTAAGGCTCTGTCTTTCCATTCCAGCCTCACTGAGCCAGTGTGTTCTCTCCCTTTTGCCTGACCCCTCTGTGTATCCCCATCTACAGACTTCCCTCTCTGTAAAGATGCAGCTACCCAGTCTTGTACAGCGAGCTGAAGACTCGACTCATCGGCTTCTGCCTCCTTTATCTGTCTGTCACACCGTCTGACCGTGCTCTCCCTCTTCTACACCATGGACAGACAGGAACCTACTTTTTCCCCCTCACAAAACCTCATGGGGGACACAATTCAGCGCCACATGTTAAATTATTGATGAAGCGTCCCCCGCCTCTCTCGTCTTTCCCCTGAGGCTTCGTGCTGAGGGATGCTGAGAGAAAACCAAAATCTCCGAGGACTCTGTCTGCATTTCAACACACTGTGGTGAAGCTGCAGACACACAGCCAACCACAGGTACACACAGCCTTATCTGGTTCTTACATGATGACATACACTCACAACACAAGCCAGTGAACACACAAACATCCCTCTACAGTCTGTCTATAGTTCATAACAGAAAATAACCTTTACACATCAGAAACAATTCACATCTCTCTGACCCCCTCCCACAACACACACACACACACACAGTGACTTGTTAGACAGGATGAGTTGGAGTCTAAAGCTCCAACAGTGCCCCCCGCAGGCTGCAGAGTTCATTACAAAGAAAATGACAACCAAAGCTGAAGTTTCACAACTCGGGGGCCACTTACTGGCCTTTCTTAGAGCTTTCATCCTTCTCATCAGCTGACATGTGACTCCACTCATCCATAGCTCTTTTAGGACTTCCTGTCTCTGCTGGCCTATATGATCATTCTTGATAATGAAAACAAGCAGTCTGACAAAACAATCCCAACTCCTGGTCCTCAGCTTTGTCTGGCGCTATCAGCCATGACACTGGTGTTCCTCAGTCCTAGACATGGTAGTTAGGCTGTGGACACATGAAATTATTTTCTAATCTATTAGCAAATAAAAATGCAAACATTATTTATATAGTTTACCATGAAGTAATAAAATGTTGCACTATTGGAACACACAAACATCCCTCTACAGTCTGTCTATAGTTCATAACAGAAAATAACCTTTACACATCAGAAACAATTCACATCTCTCTGACCCCCTCCCACAACACACACACACACACACAGTGACTTGTTAGACAGGATGAGTTGGAGTCTAAAGCTCCAACAGTGCCCCCCGCAGGCTGCAGAGTTCATTACAAAGTAAATGACAACCAAAGCTGAAGTTTCACAACTCGGGGGCCACTTACTGGCCTTTCTTAAAGCTTTCATCCTTCTCATCAGCTGACATGTGACTCCACTCATCCATAGCTCTTTTAGGACTTCCTGTCTCTGCTGGCCTATATGATCATTCTTGATAATGAAAACAAGCAGTCTGACAAAACAATCCCAACTCCTGGTCCTCAGCTTTGTCTGGCGCTATCAGCCATGACACTGGTCTTCCTCAGTCCTAGACATGGTAGTTAGGCTGTGGACACATGAAATTATTTTCTAATCTATTAGCAAATAAAAATGCAAACATTATTTATATAGTTTACCATGAAGTAATAAAATGTTGCACTATTGATACAGAGCATGAACTTGTTTCTATTTGTCACTTATTTATTTACTCGTGTTCATAGTGACTTATTTATTGGAAATATGAAGCTGTTCAGCCTTGTGTCAGGACTACTGGAGCATCAGTCTCGCTCACAGCAGCTTCTCTGACAACAGAGATTACCCGTAGTTCTCTACCTGCACAATAATTATGCTCATGAGTGAATGTCTGATCGACAAGGGGTTCAATGTTTGTTTCCTTATTGTTGTTTTTAAGGAAAAAGAAGACATCTGTATCCATGCAGAAAACATCATGCGATTCGACTGAGTCACATTTTAGGTAACACAAGACAAAGTCAGCTTCGGTCAACAACAGTGATAAAATGCAGGTTCAGTTCATGCTTGAAGCAGTTTGTGTTTCTGTGAAAGGTGTAATGAAGTGTTTGTACAGGTCAATCTTGCTGCTGGATGTCAAACCTAAAAAGATTATCTCCCCAGGATCTCTCATGTGCGCCACCTGCAGACTTGAAAATCTGCAAAATGTTCACTTTTAGTTTGCTGCTTTTTGGAAACCAGGGGTGGAGACAACTCACCAGCTGACTGGGGATTCTGCTGCACTCAGGCTTAAACATATGATAATTGCAGGTCTGTGCACATTCCAATTCCAGTGCTTGGTCTCTGAAGCTTCCTGAAAAGGCCCGTTAGACCAGGTATCGATCAGGTGTCTCGTGTGATTGCTCTTTCAAGAGACAGGAGAAACACACAGGAGGCCAGTGCATGTGATTAGCAGACTTCCACATACGTCTGAACGGAAGAGGTACTGAAAGCTTTAATTATCATACAATCAGAGCAGCAGGGCAGTGTCTGGGCTCTACAAAGGATTTCACAACAAAAGCTGATCAGCAGATAGATCTCTCGTCTTCATATTCACTCGTCTTCATGAAGCTGCATTTGTTTTGTGGTGGGTGTTAAAGTGGGATGTTGTCTTTGTTTCTCTGCCCAGAGATCTTCTGGTGTTCTTACCTTAGTTTTACTTTTCTTCCTGTTCCCCTCTTTCTAGTCACTAAACACATTTTAAAGAAAGGTTTCAAATGTGCCAGGGCTCATTTTAAATCCTCTACAAATACCACAGATAATTTTATATTGGAAGTTAAAGCAGCACAGTGTACATGTTAGTTCTGAAGTGATTACACTGAAAACTGCTAGTTTATTTATCTAAAGCCTATCAGCTATGAGCATAGACACATAAAGGCCTCACAGATCTGAATGATATCATACCAGAAGGCAACAGTCTAAACTTAGGCAGCTACACCAACAACAGAGTCCACACCCACTCATCACAACGCCAGTCTGCAACGATCTGATTGGACACAGACTAACTGCCAATCTCATTGGTCCATTTGCTTCACTAGACTTTTTTTTTTTAAAGGAACTAAGGGAAGTCTACTGATTACACTGTTGTCTGAATAAATAAAGAAATCTTTGCTAACCATCTGTTTGGAGGAGAGAGAGTGGATCAAGGTAAGGAACAATTATTTTACTTCATGACCAAGTGACAAACTCCCAACTACAACAAGGTTTTAGCCTCATGATTTGATTTAAAGCACATTTCCTTGATGTTTCAGCCTCAGTCCTCTCATCAGCGTCATTTCAAACCCACTGCACGCTACTGACTGAGCAGCAAACAGCAGACAGGCGCAGACAGAAAGTAGCTGGAAACAAAGTCGAAGACCTAGCAGCTCAAGAGCCAGAGAACTTAAACCAAACCTGAATGAATATTGATTAATGGATTTCATATTAGTTAAGTGAATGGAAACAAGACTCCAGACAGAAGCTGATCCGTGTGTAAATAATCAACTGCTCGCTGACAATCCTGCCTCATCAACTTCAACATGTCAGTGATGGTTTACAGCTGGTGCTGCAGGCTTCACTGTTTAAAACTTCCTTTTTCTCCTGAGCACCTTGGGATCACCCACAAGTTGCACCCATTAGTAATAAGTGCATGTTAAAGTTCACTTTCACTGGGGAACTGAATATATATGGTGTACCAACCTTGTGGGTTGAGTGTCATTGGCTGTACACATGTCGCTGACCTCCTGATATGCTGATCAGTAACGCACCACTGCCTATTCTTCATAAAGATTTAGAGAAACTTTTACTCGGACTGGCATCTTTATCTCATCTGGACATTTTGGGGCTTCCCCTCTCAACTTAGTGGAAGACGGTGTTCAACAAGCAAGTGAACACACGGCTGCTCTGAACCTCTCCAACTAGTCCCTCATTAGAAAGTTTGTGGTGCCGGGAGGTGTAAACAACGGATGCTGCACTCACTGTACAGACACAGGTGTCAGCAAACTGTCGGACATGGAAACTTTTAGGCCTGTGTCTTTCTGTGTGTGTGTGTGTCTCCCTGCTGAGTATTAAAGTGGAACAGCAGCTGGTTTGAGCTGTTGTCTCAGTCTGGCAGCATAGTTACTAGACAACATTGCCTGACTAAGATTCTGCTGTGCTGTTTACTGCCACAGGGGAATATGAAGGACACACACACAGACCTGAATAAGCTCCCTCCTCTGCAGCAAACCAACATGCTAACTTCACACACTTTTTAAAAACACATTTGTGTAGAAAAACAAACCATTGCTGCTATACACTCAGGAGGCAAAGTCAAAACTGTAAAAATAGCATTTTATTGGTCAGATAAAGCATCAAGAGCAAAACTGGAAACCCCAAGTTAGTTTGACCATGCATTATGACATAGGAATCTACCAAGTGTTGGTTGTTCAATGATTCATTTCCCATTAGAGTCAATACTCCCACTACTGCAGATGGTAGTAAGTCCACTTCAGTGTTATGGTGCCATTTCTTTTTCCTTCGTGACAGCCGAGCGGCTGCTGTGTCCTGACTCTCTTCCTGTCAGTTCTCACAACAAGTAGAGACTTTCTCTCACATGTTAGAACCACAGCTTAATTGCTATCCTGTTCTGCAGCTCCATTAAAATGCTCTCTGTGATAACGGTGAGGCTGTGTGGTGTTAAGATGGGATGCGTGATCTCGGCAGGGGGCTGCATGCTAATCTGAGAGGAAGAGGAAGAGCTGCACCCTGTCTGGCTGATGTGCTGAAAAACACAACTGAAGTAAATGTGGAGACAGAAGTGTTTTGGTTTGTGTCTCAGTACAGTTTCACACTTTTGGCATATAAACACATATTGTAGCTAAATGTCAACATTTAAACTAAAGGAATCAGAGCACGATTAAAGGTCTGTGGTTTCTGACCACCAGGGTGCAGACACACAAACTCACAGCCATGATCATCTGGCTTCTGAGGTCAGGGATGAAAACAGCTGCACATCCAGCAGACACAGGCTGAATCCTAAATCTTTTAGACGACCGTTCCTCACTCCTGGATCCCGGCTCGACATGGCAGTCATTCTGGTCTAACCCTAATGTAAAACGGCAACTCTGAGGACTCAAATAACAATCTGCTGATCATTCATTGTTTTGTCTATGAATTGGGGGAAAAAAAACCTCAGACTTTTTTCATCCAACTGTTTCAATGCCAAAGATATTTAGTTTAAAAATGACGCTGTATTTGACATGTTTGGAAGGTTAGTCTGAAATGAACTGATTTTCAAATTAGTTGCCAATTGATTTTCAGCTGATTGACTATTTAGTAATAGTTTCAGTTCTAAACGACTAAAAGGTCTTTAAAGTACAGCCAGTTCTTTCAGCTTCACTGACTGAGCAGCAGAGATGCTTCCTCATCACAAACCACTGCTGAACGAAAGCTCACAGGACAACTCCAACCTCGTCACTTATCAGTGCAGCTCACTCACTGGAGCCGTCAGGTGACCATAAGGCCACACACTTTCAAGGTCACGTTAGCAGCCTCACGTGGCGCCAGACTGTCCTGAAACAGGACGGTGATACTGCATCATCTCTTTGTTCCGCCTGTAACATCTAACATGTAAATGATAGAGGCAGAGCAGCAGAGGGAGCAGGAATTCTTTCGTCCATGAATAATGTAGGCTTTGGAGAATGCTTTGACAGGGTGTCAAAACATGTCATTTTGAATTCGCCAAAAGTTTAGTTTAGACGGCTGAAGGAACACCGGCTCACTTTCCTTCATCACCGTCCTGACAGACGTGTAACCAACTGAGGCAGAGGAGCAGCCGTCAGTCACAGCATCTGTACAGGCGCCTGTCAGTCAAGACGACAGAGGCTGAGACGAAGCCGACGCTGCTGTGTGAAGCTGCAGGAAGCACGACCTCAGTGCTGCACAACGTTTAGTCATCAACAGCAGGAGAAAACAAAACGCAAAATTTCTCTCAGCTAGCTCATCTTTTCTAATCAGAGCCATGTTGAACCAGCAGAACTGTAACGTCAGGTCAGACTGTCTCCTGCAGGAAGCTCCGCTCAGGTTCATTAAGATTCAGCTCAGACTCTTCATGTAGCCGTTTTACCTGAAAATCTGACAAAACACAGCAAAGCTGGACTGAGGGGGACAAACTTAGCGTAGGAAAAAAAACAAACAACAACAACAACACACACTGTCGAAAGCAGTAAAAGCGCTGCAAATAAATATGATGTGAGGACAAGCTGAAGTCCCTGCAGAGCTACTTCCTGGCACATTGTGATCTTCAGTGAAAGGTTGGTATAGCTAAATTTGTATTCATGCGTTTTCCTTAAGATTAAAGGTGCAGATGAAAACAGCTCTTAGAGGATTAGAGCCCAAGTCCAATCAGACGGTTGCATTTTCTTCAGCTGGGGTTGCAGTAAAGACATAATGTTATAGGTAAAGCATGATTTGCAAAGACCGTGTGGTTGAGAGGGTAAGAACACATATAGGCACCTGACTGAACCTTTCTCTGTCCCATTTAGTTTCAGGTTACATTTAGCTGACCTGGGGAAACACAGCAGTTTGATTTGCTCATTAAAGTCTCTCTAAGCAGCGTCTTCTGATTGTCCAGATGATACGAGTCATAAACAACAGGACACACACACCCAATCACCTGCTGGCACAGCCACCGCACACTTTAACGAGCTGCTGTTGTATCATTTAGCGGCCATCACTGCGTGTGTGCGCGCGCATCAGTCTCCTGCGTTGCAGATTCACATACACACACGCGCGCACGCCGGCCATACGTGCACAGATGCTAGTTTCTCTAACCTCCAACTCAAAATGAGAGACTGAATATCGAGCATCTGATTAAACTCTCGCGATGCTGCTCACTGGAACCAATATTTGCGATGCCCGTGGTTTTGATTTTTTAAATCCAGAATGATTTCCATCTATGTTTACTGGTCTTCTTCCCCGCAGCCTCCTCAACGTGGTGCAAACTGGTAAATTACGCCCACCTGGTGATAGGTGGAAGTGGAAACCATTTGTGTGCGTGTACACAAACGGAGGCCCATTCATATCAAATTCCCCGTAGCACGAGCTCAGAAACTCAACAGGTTACCTTTAATAACAAATTAGACAAAGTCTTACCTTAGTCTTTGAGATATTCATCGTGTGAAATCCGGCAGCGTGCACGGCTCCTTCCTCCGCCACCAGCTGGAGTAAAACATCCCGGGGCCTGCACCATTAGTGGCTTATCCCGCTAACTTTGGGCTTAACCCAAGTTTTCTGGCTCACTTTTAATCGGGCTACATCACCACGGTAACTTCTGGACGCACAGTGCGTCTGCTCTGGAGCAGGTGAACTTCAGAGGGTCATTATCAAACTGTCACCAGGCCGAGCACCGACCAATCAGATGGCTGGGAAAACCCTGGGCTCGTTCTGACAGGGACAAAACAGTTGACATTGACGTGGTAAATAATAAAGAGGCACAGTAATTTCTACAGAGCAGCCATATGGTTGCTGCCCACCCCACAGTGCTCATAATCCAACCTGACGTTTCTGACATCATCTCTCCCTCCCAATTCTTGCATTTATAACTAATCAGTGGGGGTTACAAGAGTAGCATCAGCCAGGAGGAGGAAACAGGTAAAGGTCAGAAGGTCAAATTATCATAGTGAGAAAAACATGCCTGAACGAAGCGTCTGTCAAAGCCACAGACAGCTGAGGAAACCAGGGGAGACACAGAGTTCAGGTACATCAGCTCAGACACCTGGGACATGAACCAGAGTCTGGTATGATACAAACTGATGATATAATAGATGAAAAGATGTGACAGGAGCTAGAACGTGAGGACAACAGTGCTTGTTTCTGATTGGCTGACAGGCGTTTGACCATTGTAATCTTAACCCAGGGTCCACTAATGTACTTTTACCGCATCACAGTCTTCCTTTGCAGTTGTTCAGTTGTCATGGAGATTCTGCACACAAACACACACACACACACACACACACAGAGCTCTGCAGTTTCTTCACCTGCAGGCAGCCATTGTTTAATAATGTTATTGATCGCTGTGTGCTTGTGCACTGACACGTGATCAGCCTGCTGGAGTGAAACAGGCACACGCACACACACACACATATTTGTACTTCTATCTTTGTGAGGACACTCACTGACAAAATGCCTCCCTAGCCCCTTACCTTAACCGTAACATTACAACTAAACAGTGCAGGGGAGGCGACAGTGGTGCGGTGGGTAGAGCAGTCGTCTCCCAACCAGAACGTTGGAGATTTGAATCTCGGTGCCTGCAGTCGAAGTGTCCTTGGGCAAGACACTAAACCCCCCGATGGCTAGAGCCATCAGTTGAGTTGACACCGCAGATGGCGGAACCCTAAAGCCAGGTCTGAACCCTCAAACAGCCCTTTGAAGGGGGGAGGACTAGACAGCATGGCAACACTTTCACTGCCGTGGTATAAACTCAAGTCAGAAGAAAAAGAATCAATATGTCTTTTGATCACACAAAACAGAGAGAGAGTCAGACAATGGGTAAAACTGAAAAGGGAAAGAAAACTGAAGAGGAACAAGAAGAAGAAAAGCATTAAGGGACCTAATGGGAAACTGGCAAATTGCAATTAAAAGCACAAGTGATGTTACTGTTTTACAAGTATAAAAACAACAGTTACTGGGATACTGCATTGACTGTGTATGATACATACACTGACCTGTCTCGCTGTAAACACACAAACTCCACACTGGAGAAAAGATTCATTTCTCCATGACAGAAATTCTCTCTGTGCTGCTATGAGCAGGTGGAGCAGCTCAGTGGGTGGAGTCAAACACACGAATCACATTTCGTTCACAAAGCTTTGCTTTACTTCTAAATGTGAACAGGATACTCTTTGTCTGCTCCTTCTAAGCTTCAGAAGAAACTACATGCACAGAAGGCAAGAAACACAACTGGGGAGCATTTTCAGAAAGTGATCACATCTTACAGAGAGAGAGGACATTCAGAAGTTCAGGACCATTTTCAAAAGTGAGAGCAGTGACAAGTCGGGGTCCTCGTGTACAGGAGAACAAACGTATATGTGTGAAGGAGGGACAGTGAACGCTTCAACACTCACAGGGAAAACATACCAAAGATATGGAGCACACATTTAGTCCTGAGGGGGGCAGCCTTTAATTTGTGGAGCAACATATCTGATGAAGCTTTTCATGGCCGGACACACGCACACACACAGCTGACCTAATCAGTGAGCAGTAATTGGAAAGTGGGTCCTGTGATATATAGTGAAACAAACGAGTGTGTGTCTAAAGGGGGACACAATGAGGGAGGAAGGAAGGATCACTGGTGTGAAATGAGACTAATGAGTGTGTCCAGGGCTTTATGTGTGTGTGTTTTTGTGTTCATCCTTGTGTGTGGCCGTTCTTCCATGTATGCCAGTGTATGGCCATCGATCCGCATACCCTATCTCTGTGCTTTATCACGACTTCAAAGAGATTTTGTCACTCTGGAGTCCGGAGACATCGAGCCGACAGTCGGCCGGCGTCGGGCCATGTGTAGACGACTGTCACCTGCAGTTTTTCCGCTGCATCCGTGTGGGTGACTCACCGTGTCAAATCACAGAGAAAGACCCCTCTAATTGGCTGTGCAGAGCCTAGAATAAGTCATGTTTCTTTTTTCACGAGCAAAACACCAGTGACACAACAGGACAGAACATCACAGCTGCAGCTCCTTTGTTATGTTTGTATTCCGAGCATATGGTGCGGTTGTTTACTACTTCTACTTGGTTTGGTGTCTTTCAGTAATTGTATATTTTATATTAATTATGTTTTATACTGACTGCAAACATAAAAGTGAAAATTAAAAACAAAACTTAGGACTGATGTTGTAGCTGATGGACTTTCAAGCACAAAACTGATTATTTTCTATATTTTTGTAAACATTTATCAGCTTGGTGATGATGAAACTGAAACAAATCAAACATTAGACACGACCCCAGGAATTCTGTGCCAGCTGTTTACAGCTGTGATTATTGGACAGCTCCGGTTCTCTTCTCCATCTGTGACTAGTAGATACTGCAGTGCCGATGGGAAGTAACGCGACTGCCATAAAATAAACAGAGTGAAATGTTCATCTTGATCTCAAGCAAGCTTCAAGTCTTTGGCTTTCTATAGCGAACTGATCAATGGCAGGAAAATTGTTCTGTGTGATTTGGAAATTGGACACCTTGAAAGCAAAGTGTATGTGATTTGTATGAAACTGGGTAGAAAGTGCTGCACCACCATGGACGCTACCTCTCTGAATCAGTGAAGGGTTTGATCTGCAGCCCGTGTCCGTCCTCTGGCTGCAACGAGCCATTTCATTGGGTTTAATAAAGCGAAGCGTGTTAGCAACTGAAGCAACTCCAACCACTAACCGCTTCTAATTTCATTTCTCTTGCCCGAAGAGAATTAAAATCTGTATTTTGCTTGTTCTTCAGTCAGTAATAGATCAATACCAGCCTGTCTGCTGAGATAGTACAGATGTAAACATCCCTTCACAACATCAGAAAACAATTTAGATTCAACACTTCATAAGGCTCCACTGTTGTCCTGAAACTATTAAAATACACTGTTTGCACATTTTCTTTAATTATGATGCAAATGTGGATTATTCTGCCGCTGGGAATAGTCCCCAACAAATGAACAATTTCCTACCATTTGTTAAAAACTAGTGACTGGCTGCTGTAGGAAGTTACTGAGAATTTTTTTTTAATTGAAATGAAATATATTTCCTACATACTTGTGAGTTGATGCTGTACAGAAATGAGTGAAGATCAATCATTGCCTGGAAAGAAGAATAAACACAAAGATGTAAAACAATGATTTACTCTGAAACATGATGCATCTACGTACATTGGGCTGTTTTTCTAAAAAAAAAAAAAAAAAAAAACATGAAAATGCCTGCAACTTGATGGAGTCTGTGCAAAGCCTCCAGCCAAACTTTGCAAAGGAACAGAAGATCCCATGTGGGCAGTTCTGCAGGCGTCATCTGAAGGCCTGTCACGGCGGTGTGAGGGTTTGATCTGCGGCCTGTGTCCCTCCACTGGCTGCAATGAGCCGTTTCATTGGGTTTAATAAAGCGGAGCGTGCCAGCAACTGTCATCTGAGCCTGAAGCCAAACCTCCCCACGTGCTCCAGATTGGAGAAAAAACCAGAAACAACCCCACAGCCTCAGACAGCAAGGGTCCTCCAGGCCAGAAGGAGTCCATTATGCTCCTGTAGCCATCTTTGGTGCCATGCTGTGGCAATTGTAAAGGCCTGGCCCGGCAGAGTGCTGGCACACGGCGCTCAGGACATGCTGCTAAATCCCATCCTATGGAGACAAAGCTGCCAGTTACTGTCAGTCATCATCAGGCCTGAACCTCAGGTAGCTGCAGCGCTTTTAATTAACCTTAAAAACATAATGAGCTTTAATATGAGACATCACAACACAACTACAACCTGTGGAGGACACAGAATACGAACCAAAGCATTGTTAAAAACCTGTCTACTGAAGGTTAAAATGTGATTAGGTACCGTTTTAAACGAAGTGTAAATATCCCTCATAAGGAAAAACTGAGATCCAAGAGAGCAGAGTTACAAGTAAGACACCAATTAAAAAAAATAATAAAAAAAGGCATAACTACAGAAATATTAAAGTCCAAAGTCTTCCTACACGTCTTCCCCAAAACATTTTAGATTCACTCAGTTGCTAATGAGTCTTCCTGTAAATGTTTTCTTCCTCATTACAAAGGCCCCAAAGCCTCCAGGTATAAAATTCAGGGCATGTTGAAGCTCTTGTTGATGTTAGTTTGGTTTCTTTATTGATTTAATAAAATAAATCAGAGTCTAAAACTAGACTGGAATTAGCTCATGAACGACCCATCACGTTTCCCATGCGTTTTTAACTTTAGAATAAGCTCAGCACAAATAAGGAAACGGAAACATAATGGAGGACATGACTTCACTGCCCAGAATGATAGCAATGGTTTTAAACTATACAAAAAGTTACACAATAGGAAGGTTAAATCAAATCAACTTAACTTATATAGAACTACTGTGCACATTACAATCACTTCAGTAGGAACATTACATAAAGATAACTTCGACTAAAATCACTGTGTGGCCCCAATCAAATCTCAAACTGTTCTGTACCTCGATTCTTGTTAAAAGGTGAAGGTTTATATTGTATCGTACATGAATAGACTACTGCTTTCATACGTGTGGCTCCCCTGTAAAACTGGCTGCTGGTTATAATTTACTCTACTTTAAATTTACCATGACACCAGCTCTCATCCATCCTTCCTTCCTTCTTTCCTCCCCTCCTTGCTTGGCCGCCTCCATGTATCGGCCCACAGCGGCGCAGTGAGACGCTTCTAATCCTCTTTTGATGAACTTGGTTAATAGAGCCCCTGCGGCGGACTTTGGCTCTGTTCATTAGGCAGCACACGACCCTCTCCACGCCCCCGGAACAGGCACTGCGCGTCTCCGCGCCTCCCCTGTCCATAAATTCACCAATAAAAGTGAGGAAAGTTGACTGTGTGTTGTTAATCTGTTGTCAGTGAACTGACTGTTTGCGCTTATTGGCACAAGTTTGTTCAGAAGAGCGATGCCGCCGCGTAAAAACCTCTTTGCGTCTTTCCTATCAGTTGACCGGGAGGGAGGGGTCGGCCCCGAGGGCCCGACGCCTTTCCACGCCGATATACATGCTCTGCTGCAGCGGAGCCCAGTGCAGGAGCGGCCGGGGGCAGAGCGCACGAGAGTCTGCTGCGACCACCGTGACCCTCCGTGCGCCATCGTGGAGCTCCGGCTAGGCCCCGCCGGTGGCGCGCTGCATTACCTCCATCCAGACAAGTGCGCACTGGAGCGTGCGCAAAGGCGGCGACGCCTTGCTGCCAACGCACGGGAGAGGAGGAGGATGTTGGGGCTCAACGTCGCCTTTGACCGGCTCCGGAGCGTCATCCCCAACCTGGAGAGTGACAAGAAGCTCTCCAAATCTGAGACTCTCCAAATGGCGCAGATTTACATCGCCACGCTCAGCGAGCTGCTCCAGGAAGGCGCCTGCGGAGCCTCGGCACCGATCCGCACACCGCGATTCTCGGAGTCCGCTCAATCCTCACCTGGGGCCCAAGTGCCGGCAGGGGAGCCATCGGGGCCCGCCAGGGACTTTCACACCGGGAAGAGGAGCGGAGGGCGTGTGCGCACAGAGGAGGAGCAGAGCAGTGATGAGGACATATGGGAGAGAACGACGGAGACCAAGTGACATGTACAGACATAACAGAATGAATGTTTAAAAATGTGACTTCCTACTTTTATACACTACTGTGATGTAATTGTTCCCTGTCCTTTAGTACAAAAGCTCCTGTTTTAACGTTTTTATTGCCTTCACTAAAACGCTACATACCTTAAAACGTTTTCTGCCAGTAACATAAAGACCATGGATGTGTTGTACAGTTTTTCCTCCCCCCCCCCAACACCACCTCACAGGTAGCAGCAGTTTCTTTTTGAAAAGGGCAAGTTTTTCCAATCATCTGACAAAAAATACTGCAGATGAAAAAAAGTAAAAAGTATTTTTTAAAAAGTTGGTTTTTAATCTCTGGGCAGATCGCAATGAAAAAGGAACAACAAATAGAAATGAAAGAAAAGAAAGGAGCAAGAACTAAGGAAAGTATCAACTTTTATTTTAAAATTATGTACAGGTAACCAAAGACATCAGTCTGCAAATGGGTACAAAGTTTTCCTGCAGTTGGCTTGTAAAGAACCTCGGTCTGTCTCCAAAACAACACCACCACTGGGAGAAAAGGCTTTAGAAAATTAAAAATAGAGTCAGATTCAGAAAAAGTAGAGTCTACCGGCCTAAATTTAAATTTAATTCCCCCAAACCCCACCCTGCCCCTTACCCGCCAGCCTCTCCTACATGAGGAAACAATCTATGTACAGACTATGTACAAAAGCTCTTCCGTTCATTCTTACAGACGTCTGTGAATAAAGCTCTTGTAAACTTTAAACCAAAAAGGAGCGCGAGGGTTAAACTGTACGTGAATGACACAGTGTGCATGAAACTGTTAAGACAAATAGAAAATAACAGCAAGATCCTGCTTGATGGTACCTGCTTCCAACTTTAACAGCTGATGACATTCAAAAGAACTTGTCCATCTTCAAAAGATAAGAACAACATACAGATTCCCAGAGATACAAACACACTTTGGAGCAGAGAAAGGAATAAATTAACTACCACTAAAAAAAGAAGTCACATTGTTTTATTCTCTTCTTAGAAAGTAGCCCATCAAACCTAAAGTGAAGTGCCTTAAGGTTAAGGCTTGTTAAAAAAAAAAAAGATTTTCAAATAGGAAGTGACATTTTTCACATTCAACATCCTACACTTATTTTCCACACGACAGTGTCACTGTATTAGCTTACTCGGTTTCAGTTGTAACTAATGACCTTGGTGGTTAAACTGCTGTTCAGTAATAATGTTTAAATGAGTTTTAAGCCATTAAAGGGGCACTCCACCACTTTTACATGGAGTTCAGTGTAGACAGGTCACTTCTATGGCTCTGTCATCAGGGTTGTCTCAGACTGGGCTCAAGGACGGTCTAATGAAAGACTCCATCCAACTGCATTATGGGAAATGTAGGATCAGTGCTTTGGCATTTTATCCATATAAGAACACATTAGAAAAAAGTCCCACTTTAAAGGCTTGTTAAAACAAATTAACTGGCTCTTTAACTGGCAACTGCCACATTATTGAAGAAGGCTATATTAACAATTTAACAGCTAAAAGCCATGTACAACTATAATACTGGTGGAGGAAAAACAGCCACAGAAATTGTTCTTGTATGGGCTGATAACCGACATATAAAGTTTCAAATTATAAAGAAGGAACCAGAAAGTGGCACCAATAAGTCAAAAGCATGAAACAGAAATCCCCAGCAAACCCTTTGACAAGTTGCTGCTGCAGATCGAGTTTGCACTTCAATCTCTATTTTCTTTCATTTGTCTCTTCTGCAAAATGTTTGGAACATCTGAAACACTGACTGATGGGCTCTGGAGTTCTGGACTGATGTTCAACAATCAAACAGGGAGACATCCACCAGAGAAGGGAAAACGCCAGGCAGAATTGTACAATTTACACATTTCTAACAGCTACTCTCACCTCTTGAGGTGACTGAAATGCATTCTGGGAGCAACAAGGTAGGCGAGGGAAATGAGAAATACTGCACTTCACAGAAACTCTCCTTCCTGCAAGTGCTGGACAGATTAGATCTGAAGGTGTCAGAAGGATCAGAGGAGGATTTTCCACAAGGTTTAACTACAAACTGTGAACAACTACATCTGAAGTCGTTCTGACTAGAAATAAGCATCGACCTGATCTCTGAGAGCCTCCGCTGCTGGTGGCTCTGTTCAACACCAGAGAGGAGGAGCTCGTCTTGACCTCTCAGCTGCCTCTGTGCTGTAATTGAAGGCTCTTGTCTGACTAACGTGCACACACAGGCACTAAATGAAAGGAGCTGAAGGAGGGCAGGTCCTGGTCTGGAGGGCTGGGGGCCCCACCGAGACACACAGCTCTGATGTCAAACGATAGGGCCACTGATTGTTTGAACGGAAAAGGTTTCTACTTCTGTGAGGGTGGGGGCTTTTTCAAAGTTTCCAGGTGACAGCGGCCTAAAAACAAATCTTGTGGAAACATTTACCAGCAATCCCACCTTAACGTACAAGCACCTGCAATTCAGGGTCTAAACTCTTGTCATTTCTGTGCTTTTTGGCCAGAAGAGATCAATACTGCTGATTTCTCTGCCTCAAACTGCCTCCTTCCAACAGACAAGAGGTCAAAGCAGCAGAAAGAGAAGGAAGAGGCTGCAGCTGGAGGGAAGTGTGATGGCCAGTTTGTTTTTTCTTTTTCAACAACTCGAGCTGTTCTGGCAGTTATCGGCTTCAGAGGCAGAGCAGAGGATGGAGTCTGCTATCGGGGCAGACTGTTGAAAATGGCAGCTTCACTCCAATGTCATCGATCGAGACTCAGTGCGGGAACTTTTCACAAGAGAGCGGGTCAGCAGGTGAGAGGAGAGTCGAACTGGGACTTTAAAAAGAATTTTTCAAACGCTGAAAACTGAAAGTTTATGAACAGAAGGGTGAAATAGTCTGGTCATCTTACAAATAAAATAAAACACTGACTTGGATTGTATCTTTAATAAAAGTAAAATAAAAAAAGTGATCATAGCTGATGGGAGTGGGGGCCATCGTGTCTCATGAAGTCAAAAATGTAAGGTCAGGTACAGTCATGTTGTTGGAGTCTCTAAGCTGAAGCCATAAAAACGGGGAAGTTCCTTTAACTGGAGGATGACGTGGATGTCTGGTCACAGCGTGAACTTAAAGGTGACGCTGTGTGTTTGTCTGGTGTGTTTGAACAGAGAAAAGGTCAGATGGGGATGAAGGAGATGGTCATGGTCTGTGTGTGTGTGTGTGTGTGTGTCTGTGTGTGAGACAGGCTTCTCTCTAGCAGTGCTCCAGATAGTCGATGATCCTGGAGATGGACTTCTGTCCTGTGGTGCCGACATCACACTGCACAGAGAGAGGACAGGTCAGTTACCACAAGCACACACACAAAACACTCTGCAAACAACAAGCCTGCTGCTCTCAACACTGTTACATGTTGCCTGTATTATTGATGATGTGTTGTGTAACAGTAAAACACTGACTCAGGTTTTGGCTTGAAGCACTGACTTGATATTTTGTGGAACATTACTTGATATTTTCTTAACAGTAATTGACTTAAGGTCATAAATTGATGTTTGATTTGTTTGTCTTACAAGGCTGACAAGTTTCGACTGCCCTACTCCCCCATCCCCCCTTCTTGTTGATAAAAACACTTATTTTGCACCAATTTTTTTAAATGACATTTCTGCTGATGGATGTGGTAACTGTCTCAGGTGTTTTGTGTTTCCACCAATCTCAGTCTTGACAGCGTGTTCACTTGTTAACAGTAATTTAAACTGAGAAATAATTTTGTTGAAGAGTCAGCCAGCTGCACAGAAAAAAATATGCATTTAAAAAACATCTTTTCAGAATTCCCTTTGAAAAGCGAATGAGAAGCTCCAAGACCGGGGGAGGCATTTAGCAGCTTCTTAAATCTCTGTTTCTTTATCCAAGCACTTAAAACAGTAGAAAACTAAAGTTATATTTTGTCACCCAGTCATTTACAAACAAAGGTGAGGATTTCTAAAGTATTCTTAGAGCTGCGACTCACAGTGAGGTTCATGAAGTTGAGGAACTTTTTCAGCATTTCTGTCATGATGGAGAAATCTCCTTTAGGCAGGTTCTCTCTCACAGTAGTCACATTCAACTGGTGGAGAGAGAGAGAGACGGCATTAAAATATAACGACATCACAACAAAATAAATCATCAGTCTGTGTTCACAGCTAAACCCTGATACTGTGTGGGAGCATACTGTCATGATGTGCATCGAATTTATGGCCTTAAACACGTCAGAGTATGATCTGATGAATATATGCATAGTGAATGTTACTGTAAATGTATGTTTATAGTGCCGTTTATGCAGACGGTTTTATGAAAGTCAACAATTTTTAGGTCGTTTTAAGACATTATGAACTTGATATAGAGTCTATATTTAAAAATGCGGCCGACATGTTTCAACCTCTCAAACAAGCCTGCACAAAAAATACCAAGTCACTTATCAACAGGGAAACCACAAAGATAAGGACAATGAACTTCAAAAGAAAAGCATTACTAGTTTACACAGAATCTACAAACAGCTGAGTAATTTTCAGGAAGTGTGTGTGTGAGTGTGTGTGTGTGTGTTCCCTCACCGGGCTCCCCTGACAGAGGCAGCCCAGCAGCAGTGCTGTGTAGGAGGCCACGATGCTGTCCTCCATGTGCTTCCCTGCATGCTGCAGAGCTGAGAGGAGGAAACATTCATCATTCACAGGTTGGTTTTCTCCAAAACAAACAACAACAACAACAACAACAAAAAAACTGTATCTGGATGTACCTTTGTTGAGGTCGAGCTCCTCTTCTTCCTCATCCTTCTTCTTACTGTCATCCTGTGTGTCAGAGTTGGTGTCGTTGTCGTTAGCAACCCACTGGATCTCCCCACCTGTCTCCTGCCACTCCCCGCTCTGGTCCAGCGCAGGCTTGGGTGCCTCCTTGATGAGGTCATCAGTCTGCGCCTCGGCCAGGACAGCAGCCTGCTCTCGCTGTAGGAAAAGCTAAGGAGGACGAGCAACAGAAACCCTGGTTAACAAAGTTACTGCAGTCACATATACGTTCACTGGTAAATTCTAGTCCAGCACACGCGTCCTGTACTTCAGTCAAAGCTGTCTGTGAGCTGCTCTCTAGCAAACAAGTGAGTTCTCACAAGATCACAGCTAATTAATTACAATCCCTTTAAATTTTGTTGTTCCAACTATACTTTAATGGCCTTCATCATTAAATTTGGGCCGACTTATTACTGGACTCCAAAAGCATTTCTGTGTTTTTATCTATTTCCATTGTGTTTAATGTACTGTAATCGACTTAATTTAATTTTCTATGTTATGTTGCTACACCATGAATTGCTTGTGTTTGAACGGTGCTTTGTTTTATTAAAACACAGCATCATTTTCTGTTGTGATCTTAAAACTCACCTCAGTAAACATGCCCGCTCTCGTTCATAAGTTCATGCTGAGGTGATTCTGTTACTCTGTATGTCATCACTTTGCTGTTTGCAGATTCTACTGTAAGTCAGCCAAATCTGATTTGATTCTTATGAAGCTTCAACAGTGCTCATGGGAAACTCAGTTTCCACAGCAACAAAAAGACTAAAACACAGATGAGATGAATTATATGCACAGAGGATAATAAGACTATTAATTTACAGTCTTATAATGTAGCGTAACCTCTGAACTTGACATGTAAAATCAAAACTATCTGCAATCAGGTACAGAGGCAATGTTACCATCTATAATAGGAACTTCCTACTCTCCATTAACTTCAGAAAATGGTGGATATGCGCATGAGCGATTTTGGCTTGTTTTTTTTATTGTCTTCATCCTGTTTTCAGTCGGCAAAAAACCAAACTGAGCCAATCACAACCCGTGTGCTTGGCAGTGGCACAGACAAGCCAGAGCGCAGCTGTGTCAACTGATTCAACCCTCTGTGATCATCTAGACTGTTACCGCTGACAAAGTGACATAGGGTTGATCTTACAGTATCTTCTTGCTCTCAGATAACTGGACAAGTACAACATATGGTTGTGCTTTATAAAGGTTACCTGTTAATTCACTAATACTCATGTTGGTCTGTGTTTTGCAGCTTGAAAACACTCCCAGTGGTTGTGTACCTGTACGAGTGCGGCGATGGCACTGAGTGGGCCAGTACTGGTGATGTCCTGGTGCTGAGGGTTGAGCAGGACGGTGGAGTCGCAGGGGCCCTGACCTCCCTCCATCTCCATCTCCATCAGACAGTACCTGTTCCTGGCACTGTACTCCACCAGGTTGATCAACAGACCCAGACCCTGAACACACACAGTCACAGTGAGTAATTAAATGTCAAGCCTGTCACTGATCAGGCAGTCATTTCAAATTCATACGTTATGAAGTGTCTGTCCTTTGACAACTGTCGACAGTTTGTGAGTTCCTCACCAGCACACGTATGTCGAACCTCTGCTCCTGGGGAAGATACTGAGGAACTTTGAGAACACAGTTTAGAGCCGTCACTATTAAATCCTCCTGTTCTCCTGTCTTCGTGCTGCCCCACTCTGCGTGCGTGCGCACACACACCACACACACACACACACACACGTAAACACAAGTACATGCCATTATCAAATACAATGCATGCAACAATTCAACAATCCACTCAGATGAATCAACTTTTCAGTCTCCAGTCTTCGTGTCCAGTGTCTAAACTTGTTTATGTGCCAACAATCAGCTGCAGCACAGTGTTTGTGTCTGCTAACCGTTGTCGTGTGTCAGGTTGAGCAGGACTCCTATAATGGCCCTCATGCAGTTCTCTACTGCTTTCCCAACCACAGCTCTGTCTGAGCTCTCCTCCGTGCTGTAACGCTGGATCATCTCCTCACACCTCCTCAGTGCCCTGAGAGGAAACAACGAGACGAGGAGAAAGGAGATAGGAAAGGGAGCAGATGGGGAGGGGGCAAGAAAATTGGAGAAAGGAAGACAGTTAAAAACAAGTATAAGGATAATCACCTTTATTGGCCAAGTATGTTACACACAAGGAATTTGTTTCCGGTACAGAACCGAGGCAGCCATCTGCGGCACCAACTCAACCAGTGGCTCTAAACATCGGGGGCAACTGGGGGGTTCAGTGTCTTGCCCAAGGACACTTTGACACATGGGATGCAGGCACCGAGATTCGACCCTCTGATTGGGAAACGACTGCTCTACCCACTGAACCACAGTCGCCCCAACATTCTGTATTAAAAGCCAACATGTCTCTATTGTGTTTAGATCAGAGATGCTTGTTGACAAGGTGAAAAACAAAATGGAGCTTTCAGAACAAACAGCAGTGGGGAAAAAGAAAGAACCTCACTGCTATTTATTTATGTATTCAGCCACAGAGTGCAGGAGGTTTTTGTCTTCATTCAACAGTTTTCCTGTGGATTCACTTACTTTGTCTTATCATAGGTGAAGTAATAAGTGTATAGTCATGTGATCACCAACACAATCTAAACTCAGAACAATTTATCTGGATCTTGATGTGGTTCTCCTCTACTCTTCTCTACTCATCACAAAACAGAGCAGCAGTCAAAGGAAAGATGTGCCCACGAGGACACACGCCCGCCCAGCTGCAGCAGCTGAGGGGGTGAAGCAGGTCAGCAGCCTGATGTCAATAACTTGATTAAATCTAACGACAGTAGGACTGGACACAGAACAGAAACCGGAGGCTGAACACCAGGCCAGAGTGAGAGGAAGGGAAAAAAGAAAAGGAGTGTCAGTAGAAAATTAAATGTGGCCTATGGAGCACAACAACAAGTCTGCAGCGAGAGTTCAGACAAATTACACATATCTTGTTTTAATTTGGCATGGGATTTCCTTTTTAGGGACACAACCGTGCACAAAATCTCCAATGAAGCAACAGAATTTTATTCTTTCAGTGTTAAACTTCATGGGCTAAACTCACTGTTCAAGGAATCATGGACAAACCCATAAAAGTTTGTCCCAAGCAGCAACAAACCAGAAGAATCCTTCAAGTTATTATTAGTTCCTGCTTAGATACAGATGAGGGCAGTCAATACGCAATGAGACTTCTGTGTCTATGTGCGCGCTGCCTAATAGGGAGGTTTATTGAATTAGCCCTGCAGACAGCTGAAACACTCCGGGAGACAGAGGGTGAGTCTGGGTTGAAACAATAAGGGCAGCGTTTACAGGAACAAAGAAAGAATAGCAAAGAAAAAATGAAGTTCAGTAAAAGAGGAGGAAAAGGCATTAGAATAAGGAGGACAAAAGGAGTGACCGCTAGAGGAAGACCTGGAATCAGTTCAAGCAAAGATTACATGAATGCACAAACTGGGTGTTGTGTGGATATTAGGTGGCAGTGATCGCTCTCCCGCTCCCCCTGTGGTTCTGGGGGTTAATCAAGTTACCGGCGAGGACAGCTGAATGCTCACACCGAGGCCTGTGTCATCCACTCAAACAGCAGCTCTTTGTTGACCCATTCAGCCTTCACTCCCACCCCACCCTCACTGCAGACCTTCTGTAGGGGGCCAAAGGTCCGGTCACACACAGGGTGAACGAGGACGACTGAGAAGGGCAAATTAACTCAGCGCCAGGCTGTTTGACCGATACTGGATTCTGGAGGCTGATACGAATTTGAGATATTTTACTTGTTAACATCTTAAAATCTGGCTATTACAGAACTTTTACAGTTGAGTAATAAAGTTTATGGTGGATGGGGATGTTTATGTCTGAGACATCCACAGCCCAGCAACAAACACATTAGCCAAACTGATTAACACATAGTTTGTGGAATGTCGTAAAAATGTCTCATGTATACAGCAACTCAGATGAAGAACTAATGATTATTCTAAAAAACAATACAAGATAAATTCCATTTGAACACATTTCACTGTATCAGATCTGATTAAAATGCCTGAAACAGATGGCAAGAGACGAAAAAGAGAGGAGAACACAGTATCAAGTCATTTCTACTGTGTACTGAGATCGCTCTGTCTGTGGAAGTTGGTGCGAGGGGGGCGGGGTCACAGGCCATTGCTATGACTGACAGGATGTCACAACCAGGAAATTAAACTGCCAAACCATGATAATGACACACACACACACACACAATACCACCAGGCACCCCGAGTAAGACTGACAGACACAGTACACACATTTTTAGAGCTCCACTGTCTCTACAGTACAGTTATTAATCTCGGTCAATCTCGATTTCTGAAGGAAGAAATCCATTTGTCTGGACTTCAGCTGCTTCTGTCCAAATTTTACATTTGTCAGTTTTCATACAAACCAAATCAATGTATTAATGTCCCACAGAATCTTCTTAAAAAAGACGTTTCAACCATCGCGGTCAACAAAAACCCAGACATGGCAAGATGCAAGAGAAAAAAGCAAAAAAAAGAGAAAAAAGAAAACAAAAAAAAAAGATGGCGAGTAGGAAGGAAAGACGTGCAGACGCATGGCACCTGATAAAGGAGTCTGGACTGTGTATGTAAGTTGACTCACTTCGCAGAGGAGACGATGAGTGACGAGTCTTTGTAGGCGATCAAGTAACTCTGATTCTCCGGGTTGTGGACCGTCACCTGCACATACACAAACACACAGACAGAAAAAAACTCATACACAAGATACAACGTACATTGGTTGCATTTTAAAACTAATTTGAAGGGGAAAGTCATTGTTCTTAGATCCTGTTGGTCCCAATCAAACCTGATTCTTTTAGTTATACCCACTTGACAATATAAAGTTGGAGCTCACTGACATGAACTTAGCTTTCCCCTGAAGGCTGTGATGCACTTACACTCTCCAGCACCCGTAAACACCTCTCAGCTCCCCACAGAGAAGAACCCAGCTTCTCCTTCTCATCCTCCTGGTTTAGGTTGTCAACACACTCCTTCACTGTGAAAGCAGAAACAAAAAACAGGAAGTCACAATCGGTGACCAGATGCACCATCAGTGTTTTCAGTTACTGAGTCGGTACAGTTCCTTTATAATATCTTGAACCTTTATCCACTATGTGGTCCAGTCCTCCCAGCAGCCGCAGCTCCTCTTTGAACCAGTCTCCTGCTCGCTTTGAAGTCAGGGACAGTAACGTCTCCATTGCTAAATGACCCGTCTACAGGGAGAGAGGAGGGATATAAGCTTAAAATCTGTGATTAAAAATCTCAGGCTGTGATGTTTCATACACTGACATTTCTGCCTAATGTACTGTGATCGTTGTTATGACACAGCTGCAGTGCAGCGTTTCCTCTGGCTGCACAGCTGGTTTCTGTGGTTTCTCTGATGGGTTTCTGCTTTTGCAAGTATAAAATGGTGACTGTAGAAAGACACCTCCTCTATTTGATTCCTAGGGACTGACACTAAAACCTGCTATTTACTGTGGATGTTTAGATCACAAAAGAAATCTCCAGTGGAGCATCTAGAAATATGTTGACATGTGGGTGGCTGTGAGTCACACTGACTGAAGAGCTGCTAAAAGAATATCATTAGTCAGAGGTTTCAGTGGAGAGGTGTAAGAGTCTTAATGCTATTTCAAGGCTTTTCTGCCTCAACAACAACAACCCAGAACTGTCGGAGACATGATCACATGGAATGATATATAAATTAAACAAAGCAGGCACGATGAATATTCACACAGAACTAAAACCCAGCAGTCAGTGTTAATAAACACAGGAGCGCTTGTCAGTTTTCTGTACCGTTATGTTCTGCAGGTCCAGGTGCTTGTTGTGCACAGTGTCACAGAGCTTCCTGATCTTCTCCTTCATCTTGGCGATTTCCCTGGCACTGAACTGAGGGGTGGAGTCTGTGGTGGAGTCTGTGGTGGAGTCTGTCCCGCCCCCGCCCCCTTGGTCCTGGTCCAGCTCCAGCAGCCGTATCATCAGGTCCAGACAGGACCGGTCCAAATCCATGTTCAACCGGTCTCTACTCAGGATGTACATCAGAGAGGCTGTACACAGAGCCAGGTTCTGCAGAGAGGGCGAAAGAATGAATTATTCAGAATAAAATCAGTCCCAAGCAAACCAATCTCCCTCAGGCTGAATACTGCATATTCACTTTCACAAGTGTCTATTTAAAAAGGTTTGAATTTCCATAATACTGTCACTTAATTTAACTTAACATTTCCTCCCCTCCTAGTGCAGAGCAGTTTCTCCCACTGTGTATTACAGCTCATTCATTCACAACATTAACACCGAGGCTCCTGCACTGAACTGAGCTCAGCTGCAGGCCAATTAATCTGACTCCTTAACTGATTTCCTCAAACATCCTGACCTCATGCAGCATATTAAAAAACTGTCAAAGGGAATTTTTAGGCTATTTAATAATTGACAAGTGGGATGGCATTCAGGCTTATAAATGAAGGAGTAACTACATGACAGTAGTGATTATTAATTTAGGTAAAATATATTTAATATTCACATTGGTAATGTTCTGGTTCTCAATTCATTTTTGCAATGGAGCAGAGCGAACTGCTGGCGTCTTTGATTCATGTTGGTCCTCAGGCTGCATTCAGACCGAGTTTCATAGGTGTTAAAAAAGCAGACATCCCCATTCATTTCATTGGGAACTACATTCACTGCTGCTGGCACTGGCTCTGCAGGGGGCTCGGCCAAAAGCACACAGCCCCGTTCGGCAAAGACGTTTGATCTGGATCAGCTTGTTCCACCATGCGTGGTGACATCATCCGACAGGACACTGTGTTGACTAATCACATAATGAGGCACGGTCAGAACGTGCACACCCACGGGGAGACGGCTCTGATGCCATGAGCATTACCTGATATTCACTCTCAAATATGGCCAGTTACAAACACAGCGTAACACCACAGTGTGTTTTTGTTAGTTGCTGGAAGTTAAACAGTGTTTTTCAGTCTATCCATGCAACACACTGTTGGTACAAATTGGTGCTCGTGTACATGAACATGGGCTAGAAACGTATGAGGACAACAATATCAACTCGTCACAAGGTGGCTGTATCGTATACAGCATAATGAGAGGTGCTGGAATTCTCCAACTTGTTCTGTTTACATGTTTACTCTTGATAAGCGTTTCTAGTTTGTAGTTCTTTTCTTTATCTATGTCTGTTACCTTCTGAGAAGCTCAAGGACACTAGTCCTCAGTTCTTTTAGCTTCTGGTATTGAAGCACCATTAAGGCACCTCACCAAATATATAAAGCAGCTGTGCCTCCCTCTATATATGTGTGTGCATATATATAAAACACTGCAAGGGGTTGCTTTTCAAAGCACCCAGTCTGCATGCCTGCTTACCGGGTGTTGGGGAGCGTCGTTGAGGGTTTTGAAGACCTGGGCCACCTTCCCTCTGGCCCTGAGGTGCATCCTGAAGCTGGGCATGGAACAGCGCGTAGCCAGGCTGATGACACTGGAGAAACAACACACAGAGAAATACACTGCATCAGAAAATTGTGAAAAGAATATAGTGAAATTTATGTTTCGAGTACTTTAGGAAAGAAAAGTAAGCCAAGAGACCACAGCAGCAGAGCTGGGAAAGTGTGGTTCATCCCCGTGCAGGTTCTCACCTAAGGCATCGTGTGTTAAGAGGTTGTCCACTCTTCAAACCAGTAGCCAGATACTCAAAGTCATCAGTAAACTCCTGGTTCTCTCCAAACTCCACCACGTCATTGAAATGCTTCACATGCTGGACAACTGTATACAGCTGCAAACCACAAGGGGGTGGACAACTGAGTCGAACACATCCAAAAATACCTTAAAATTATTTGCAGCTTTACCAGGGAGCGGAGTTGTACACTTTCAGAACAAGGGAAAAGCTTTCGTGTACCTCTTTGTGCTCTTTACGGCATTTGAGTGCAGTGACAGTGTCCTGGTAAGGATCTGTGGGGACAGTGACACACTTGGTGACCTTGGGGGGAGGAGGAGGAGCCTTGAAAACTCCATCGTCCTTCTGAGCATCAGAGGGCTCCTTGCTGCTTCCTCCTGATGAGACTGCCGCCTGGAAAGATGAGTGTTCATGTTAAATGGGGGGACAAAAAAAACAAAATTATGTACTTCATGATATACAGTATAGAAGGGGCTGCATAGGGAGCCTCAATACTTTTTTGATGGCTACTTAAATCAAATTTGAGGTCAGACTTCTAACTCTGACAATGATGCATGTGTACTTACAGGAGCCGTCTGTGATCGTGAGTAGAAAGGTGGAGGGGGCTCCTCTTCACTCCCCAATGTCCAGTGTCTGGCATTATACACTGCTTTGGTGGGAGACTGTAACATAAACACACACAGCAGATGGATAAATGTACAAGTACAACAGAAAGTTTAAACTGGTAATGAAAAAATGAGAGTTTTACATGTTTCCTGCTGGATTCACTGAAATGTGACCTTTCTCCTTATACTTGTCTGCTATCAAAGCTTTGAGCCGACAAAAAAGGAGCGTATATTTGCAGTGACACCATTTATCACCAGCGTAATAAGGAAGCTAAGATGGTGGAAAACCTGGTGAGCCAAAAGGTTCGTTTCTCAGGAAATGAGTTGTCTTTAATATAGAACTCAGTATTTGAATAAATATGAAACACACGCGCCAAGAATGAGAATAGCACAGATGAAGAGCAACAGAAATTGGGGTGCACATAGAGGTAGAGGTGAAAGAAGAAAAAGGATGCACATTAAACTGGTGAGGGTCCGCCAGCACTGATCAAACAGCAGGAAACCCCCCCCCATCCAACCACCACCCACCCTCATCCTTGGCTCGTCTTCTGTCCTCTTCATATATTTTTGCCAGACCTGTGGTTGGTGGCTGCTGGGGCATTCATATTGAAAAACAAAAGAGAGAAAGAGGGAAGGACAGAGAGAGAACTGGTAGAGGGGAGGACTGTGGGAGGCTTCTGGGGGACTGCACTGCAGGCTTAATAAACTGAGACAAAAGGAGAGTTTGAGGATAAGCTTTACTGTGCTGGAAAATCAACACCAAATTAAAGCCTCCTACAGTAATCTGAATGCCACAGACAGACACATGCCCCACCTGCCCCGCCCACTCGCCGCTAAGCAACATGGAAGAGATCAGCGTGAGGGAGGAAGGAGGGCAAGCGTGGCTGTGTTCCTGCTGTGGCTCGGGAAAAACAAAAAGCAACAATGTTTTGGCATTGCAGGATGTGCAATAAAAGCAAACTGCCTTCTTGACAGCTGCAGTCGTCAGCACGAGCTTGGAAATGAGCAGTGAGATGACTTCAACCATTTCATTTTCTAATTATTAATCAGCTGCTTTTTCATAAACTGCTGAGTGAAAAAGAGCAGACATTTTCAGCCAGGAACAAGTCGGGCCTATCTTTGAAAAGTAGGTTATCACTTACAGTCAGTCCATAAAATAAGATTGTTAAGAAGCACTTGCATCTATAAAACCAGACACTTTGCATATCGTGCAGAGTATTAGTGAAAACAGTTCTATCATGTCTATCGTAGCTTAGGGAGTTTGCTAAAGTCTGAGGAAGTTCCCTGAAAACTGTGCTTTTCTACTTTCTTCAGAACAAAGTCAAGAAAAAAGTGGCACTTCACAGTCAAACACCACCACCTCACATATCCATCATTACTGATCAGTTAGTAATGTCCGGTCAGTAAGATGAGAGCCTGAACTGGCCAATAATCATTATATGCAAGTCAACAGAGCTTTCAAATTAACCAGGGAGGTGTTTCATTTCACATGAAGGACAGATGAATAAAACAAATGCATGTTTCCCTCTCTTTCATTAATAATACAACAGTGAAAAGAACCACACCGGAGACTTGGAGAGGCCCACTGATAAGGGTGTAGTAACTGCTTGTCCTATAAAATCTTCCCTCAAATAAATCTAACTCATCTACTAAATATAGATGAGTCCGTCTATGTGCTGTCATTACGGTAACATCTCATTTGTTCGAGCATACTGGATGCACAAACCTAGCAGCACTTCAACGCCACCAACTCTGCAAATGCACAGTTCACTGTAACCGAGACCGGTCACTTCCAGCGGATTTTGTTTTTATAATGAGCTTAGCTTGGCTTTGTTTGCAATTATGCTAATTGAAGATGGAGCCAGAATGCACAGTGTGGAGACACACAAAGTAGAACAGAACAAGGAGAGCGGAGGACAGGGTAGAGAGCATTATTCAGCGAGTTAAAGAGGAAGCGATGGAGACAGAGAGAACCCATTATGCAAGTGAGAGATAGGAAAGTAACGGGGAGAGCCAGGACATGAAACTAGAGAACAAGTGAGAAGGAGAGTACATTATTGTGTTCCTGTGGATGATGAGTATGCTGATACTCGTACTGCCTGATTGTAATGGGCACATGCAGAGGAATTATACTGACACTGCAAGGGCTTCTGACAGCACAGCCACAGAAGGCCAAACGCTGTTTGCTTGAGGCTACTTAAGAAGAAATGCTACATAAAGTGTTAATTGCTTTTTTCAATTTGAGTGGTTAAAACAGAAGCGATTGCATTTTCAAAACGACAGCATTTTTTGTCAGGTTGGCTGATAAACCGGACATAGTGCAGTTGCTGACTGATGAAAGGCGTTTGCACAAGGCATAATGAACTGTTAACTGACGCCGAGAACAAGCAACAAACTGTCAGTGTCATTATTAATGCTTCTGCTATCAGCTTCATTTATTCATTCACTTTAGGCAGCAAATTCAGTCTTAGTGTCAGAGCAGCCCTCGGCCTTATGTCACCTTACAATGAAATTATTCCAATGACTTCAACGCATTGAGGTGTACAAACTTTAAAGGCTGGAAATGGAGGCATTTGGTCAGTACTGAGAATCAACAGACATGAGATGAGATAGTCTGAGATGAAGCATCATAACTGGGCAGAGCAAAGGCTTTGTCACTGTGTAATGCATTCATGATCTATCTGTGAACATGGCGCTTGCAACAGATGAAGGGCTAACAGGCATAAAGTTCTCTGTGTCATTATTAGGACTTGGCAATAGACCCAGAAATCGACATCACAATTCATTGTCACATTTAGCTCAACAACAACTGTCTTTTTAAACACACACCCTTGCACGAGTCTCCATCCTCAGTGAAGTTCTCACTCTTTGCACTAAAAAAACAGCAATAATATTTCTATTGGCGTCTTTATTATGTAGCAGCAGTTTCAATAATTTGTAGGGTAAAACTGGAAAGCAGAGAAAATACGCGTCTCCTATGACATTATAAATAGACGTCCTGTCTACAGGTACGTACTAGACGTGTTAGACTGTTGTCTGACACATCCCTCTGTCAATACCCATGTGACTGACAAGGCTTCGTTATTCTGCATCAGGTCTTAAAGATCTGCACCAGAAACTTGACCTGTTATTTCTTTGGTGTTTATGCACCTATGACACATCAACTCCCTTGTGTGTCGCACACAAAAGGACACACCTGGTTTAGCTGTGACATGGGTCCTTTTGGCTGAATTAAGGAGGTAGGCTACAGATGACAGCCTTTCAGAAAAAATTATTTACAAAATTAACCAACAAGTCTTATATTAGGTTAGAAACTCAGTTTGATTCTATGAAAACCCTCTAAACAAACAGGCACTTATTTACCCATAATTGAATTTTCATCCTGAGGCAAACATCATTTGGAGAAAAATAAATAAATACTGTTACAAACTATAACATAACCACCGGAAGCAGACTCGTGTGTCTAAAGTACCATACTCCAGCTACTCCTGAACCCCTTCAACCAAACTAATTTAAATTCAGAAATTAGTCTGACAACTATAATCATGCATCACTTTTCCCAACAAAGTTAAAATGCTGTAAACTAAAAAGGACATGCTGAACAAGCAGCTGTGAGGAAAAGAGGCTTTGCAGAGCTTGTTAAAGGCAAATTTAGCAAGGTACACAAACTCTACAGAGTCTAATTAACAACTCTCCTCCAGCATAACAAAAGTACAATAAAATGATCTGTTCCGTTTCCCAATTGATGAAAGGTTTTACCTGTAGGAGAGTTTCATACAGCACCTATATATAGTCACAAATATGAAATGCTGACACTTAAGGCGTGAATGTTAACAGCTACCGATTCATGACATTGCTCCATCTCTACTATAAAAAAGGGCTCTTACGAAACACAAGGCTCTTATAAAATCAATAGAGTGTGATACCCAGTCAGCTCGGTCCGAGAGCGACAGGCCATTAGAATGCAGATAAATGAAACAGAAGCAGTTTAGAGATGACTCAAGCCTTCACTCGATCTCATCCGACTGAATAAACCAGAGCCAGACTCCTCTGCTCTGCTCCCCCCACACCCACACACACAAAGTGAGTCATACGGGGTGTAGGTGGACAGTGTCATCCTCAAAGGTACATGTAGTTCTTTTTCAAATGTAACAAGGTTTTACAATTTGAGACTAAAATATTTCACCCGAGTGATTCACATGCACAAGAACTCAAACGTGGTCTATACTAAGAATGTTCCTACTTAGTTTATTTTTGAAAAGTCAAATGCAGCTGATTTTGAGGCTCATGCTTCGATGGGATGATGCCAGAGCTTAAGTTTGAAGTTTTAACCAAATTTAGTCAAGGAATTTGGTTCATTCATAGGGGACATTTCCTGCTGTTCATACTGTTTTGTAAAGGTGCAATTTGTTTCATATTTCTGTGGTTGATGACAGAGCAGAGGTGACCACCACAAACACCATCTAACACTGAAGAGATTAACGCCTTCATCAAGTGTTACTCTTACAGCCATAAATAAATGGAAGCTAGCGGGGTGTCTGACCTTCTTGTGTGCACTGAAGATCCTTCGCAGGGTGTCTGGGTTCTTCTCAGCTGGTTTGCCCTGAGGCGGCCTCCTCAGAGCCCCGGTGACCACCCTGAGGCCCTCCTCTGAGAAGTCCAGGACTTCTGCAGACAAAAGACAGTCGCCATTAGAGAGATTAAAATCAAAGCAAAGACTGTGTCTCTATCAAGTTGTACTGCTATTTTTCTTTCAAAGGTTTAATTCTGGCCATTACAGACATTCATTCACAACAGCTGATATAATCTGTCTCCAATGATAATTGTCATTTAAACCAGTGACAGTGTTGGCCTGCACCAGCTATAAAAGATGAGTCTGCTCATGTTACCCCAGTGTTCTGTACATTCCTGTCTACTAATTAAAAAATTTAAAAAAGAAACTGAATATGAGATCTGTTTGCAGGTCAGATGCCAATGAATCCAGGTAGTCTGGATATGGTTTCAAACGCAGTCTTGATATCAAAAATAAAAACAGTTATCTAAACCTAATGCTCACTGCCATACATGTGTTACGGTTTGTATTGTACTCTCCACTTCTGACTGCCAATCCTCCACACATGACCGTAAGCTCCTTAAGGAACTAATATCATTTCCTATTCAGTTATTATGGTTGCAACAGTATGAGGTTTTCACGGTATGATAACCATCTCAGAAAATGTTATGGCTTCACGGTAATGTGGTGTACAGAATCAAACTGTTACTATTATTATCAGCGACGAGCCCCAAAGGAATGAAAACAGAAGGTGTTTTTTTATAGCAAGTAACTGTGCCAGTTGATTGAGCTGGACTGCAGCACTAGATTGACCCTGACGAATAAACTGTTATAAACATATAACTAAAGCATATAACTAAAGCCTGTTGGCACCAGGAGCAGAAGAAGTATTTCCATCCTTTATTTAAGTAAAAGTAGCTTGACTGGTTTGTAAAACCAATGCTGTCACAATGTTCTAAACGATCATAAAATAGGCTTTATGTTTATTGTAGGTGTGTGACAGCACAGTCAGACTGATCCTGCCTGTACCCTAACCCCTCACACACACACACACACACACACACACACACACTCACTTATGTGAACCGGTAAAATCTAGGTGTGTGTTTCTGGCCTCAGATCAGGATCAGTGAGTCCTTTTGTAAGTCAGAGACTGACTGACATTTATACACTCATGCTTTATCGCTTGGGATTAAAGTTATAAATGGTACTTTGACCTGTACGGAGAATTGGTGTTCTCGAAGGTGTTCCTTTTTGAGATATCCGATGTAATCCTGTGCTGCTGATTTTCATTTCTTTTTCGCTGGATGGAGTTTGGCGAGTTTTTCCCTGAGCATGCTGCCTGTCTGACAGGCAGTCAGGGAAGACAGGTGCACACACAGTGCTTTTTTTTTTAACTTCAATACCAGTAATAAGCAAATGTGCATAGTATGATAACCATCAATTTTCAGACCATGGTATACTGTGAAAGTGGTCTACCTCTGCAACCCTAGTTCTTATCATTATTTGAATCACCCTATGAGCAGCTGAACACAAACTCCTTAGAGTGGAAGTCATCTCCTGTCTTCAAAACAGCAGGAGATGAGTGCTACAGCAGACCTGCATGACACAATGTCATTTACTCAGACGTAACCAAACCCTCCCTGGAGCCTGCTCCCTGGTTCTTACATTAGCCATGAATGCTTATCCATAAAACTAATGTGTGCTTTAACCTGCTCGTATCCGGCTCTCCTGCCTCTCAGAGTTCTTCTTTTTCTCCTTAGGTTTCTCTCTTTCCCGACTTTCCACACTCTCAAATGGCTCCAACAGGTCATCAGCCAGTGTTTCTTCCACGGTAACCACTGGGGGCGCCTTGGCAACAGCGGCCTTCTCGGCCCTCCTCCTCTCGTTAGAATTGCTGCTGTTGTCGTCGTCAGCGCCTTCACTGTCGCTCATGTCGTCAAAGCCAAAGTATTTGATTTTGTAGCTGGATCTGCCGTCTGCACTGTCACCACTGTTCTCCTCCTGGTGGGCGTCTGCGTCTTCAAAACCAAACTGGTCCAGCTTCCTGTCCTTCTTTGACTTAGTCTGGGTCTGCCTGAACCTGAGGGCAAGAACACCAAGAAAAACTCTGCTCACTTCCTGCTATTAAGAAGGAAAAAAAACAAAAACAAGTCAGACTTTATGAATTTTAACCGCTAACAGAATTTAATTTTCTCCTAAAAATGTGCTCTCAGCTGCCTTCCTAGAGTGACTGTTTATACCTGAGTTGGTTTCTAACCTCAGGCTTCAGTAAACTGCCAGATTTTAATTAATACTTTCAAAAGGCTCTTTCCTGGTGGGGAAAACTAATCTACCAATTTCAGCTCAGTTAATCAAGGCAAACTGAATTAAAAATGTTGTTTCTTGCAGCATTTCAAAAATTGCGAAGTTCTTACGAATGTGTCACTTCCACCCGTGGCTTTGGCAGCTGCACCCAAACAAAACTAAAGTGCATTTATTGTCCAGCAAGTGTAAGAAGAAGATATATTACAGTGGAGGGAATATGCATGAAGGTGTGAGCACTGAAGTGGGAGCAAAATGAAACGCTGCTTTAACGTGGGGTTTCGTGCTGTGGGGTAAAAATACAAAAAAGAAAATGTGACAAATGAAAAGATAAACCAGGGTTTTCACATGTGATAACAGCCTGCGTCTGATACGAATAATATTTGTGCCATTTGCTTAAATAATTTTACTCTTTCCATCTAGTTTCTCAACTCAACAATTCAGAAAGAAGATGAGAAGTTCTGAAAATCTGACCTCAGACAGCATGAACCCTAAAATGTCTTTTGTAGGGCTTCCATGAAAGTCAATTAGTCAAATCATTAATTGCAAAAATGTATAAATTCAATTATATGTTTGTTACCGAGATCATAGTTAAAGGTGGTGTTGTACTGGACTACATTACATTCAGAGGTGTTCCTAATATTCTGACTCTCTCATGTATGTAGCTAGCTGAGGGCAAAACTATAGACACACCTCTAAATATAATGTATAATATCTCAAGCATGTGGAAACAGTTTCCCAGTGACCCCACAAAGCCCGTCAGACACGGCCCAGCCTGGCTTCCCTGTGTTGTCCTACCTGGTGCTCTGTTGTTCCATCTTCTTCCGCTGCCATCCCGCCTCTCCCAGTTCTGCCGTACTGCCAGAACCTGCAGTATTACTACCACCACTAGAGGGTGCTACATCACTGCTAAACTCCTCCACCCCATGGTCTTGGATTGTGACGTTACACATTGACATTGAAGAGGGATGCAGCACTGTGTAGTCTCTTGCCCTTCCCCGCCCCCCTCCACCACCTGCTGCCTTATTACTGCTGTCAGTAGAGGATTTGGGAATATCCACACCAAAAACAGTGCTGGAGTCCAACGCTTTGTCAGAGCCCAGTTTGTTAGGCCTCCTGTAAGTCCGACAGTTAGAGTTCCTTACAAGCGATGAAGAGGAAGATGTGTGGGAGTAGTCTGACATCTCGAGAAGTAAGTCAGAGTCGCCCCCTAGGTCCTTGCTATCACTGAGCCTTTGCAGCTGTAGGGAAGAGGGGGGCTTCTCATGCCGGGTCTGGCCCAGGTCACAGCTGCCTACAGTAACACCTGTTGAAGCCCAAGAGAGCGTGGGGGCAGGGTTGCGGGGCTCCTGGCTGGGTGAGGGCGGACGGAAGCCCATGATAGCATCCCATGAGTCATAAGTGGACTCTGCCTTAGACCCTGTCTTCAGGGTGATGGTCTGTGCCAGGGGCTTCTTGTCACTCTCAGAAGCATTTTGGTACCAAGAGTAGCTGTGGTGGTTTTCTGATGACAGTGAGGAGCTCTGCTGGGACTTTCCTGTGGAAAGACAGGCTCAGAATCAGTACTGACAAATACCATAAACTGACATTAATGTTTGTACATTTAACTTCACACTCTCTAAGATCTCATTTCTTGTAAAAAAAAAAAAAGCAACATTACAGCCATGCTGACCTTCCTAAGATCCCTGAATTGGAATTTAGGTTGTCACATGGGATCTCAAAGCATCCAGCAGTCAGAGAGATTCCAGAGTGATACCTCCAACTTACCTTTTTGTCTTGTCCAATCAAAAGTGAAAACTCAAAGGTATTCAGTTACTGACATTAAAGTGACATTCTCATTTGAGAAACAGGAACCAAAGGATTTATCAAACAACAACTAGTTGATTGATTGATCACTAATGTCAGCAATTACTTATTGGCCAATACTGTATTCTCTGAACTTGACCAACTGTGATAGCAACTGGTCTGAACTAAAGGGCTGATCATTTCATAATTAAGAAGTAGAAAAGGCATTTTTAAAAACTAGCTAAATAGTGCTGAGCTGTATCTAGTACGTCAGTGAAATAACACTGTGCTGCAGTTTGGCTTTAAGAGCTGCTCTGCAGAAAGACAAATATTGATTGCATCATTTCAAAAAGCACCTTTACACACTGAAAACAGGTCACACGCACACACAGCTGCAAACATCTAACTGCTAACTCTCATCTGCCAGCTGGCATATGTCTTCAAGAAAATCAAAAGGGTCTGGCCCCACCTGCCAGGACAACAGGCCCTCTCTGGTTATTAGCACCCCTGGCCAGCTTTGCCTGCAGATACCCATCGGCTGACAATACTGGCTTGTCACTCGGAGCAAACACAGGAAATTGCTCCACAGTGCAACATCAAAGGGTAACTGTGTCTGCTTCGTACAGGAGCTGTGGTTTTTTTATTCAAGGCTGGGTTGTCTGAGCATAAGTGCAGCAACGCTAGAAACTGGGCCATTTCACTACTTCACTCTCTTCAAACCTTATTTAACAAACAAGTATCAGCAGCCATAAAACAATGGGCTTTTAGCCGAATTCTCTTATTAACATACTCTAGGTACAGGCATACAGCAATTCACTGACGTGGTAAATATAAGACCCATTGGTCCTATTGGTCTCAACATCCAACTTTCTCTACTCTACTCATTTGTTATCTGGTCTCAGGTTTGCATCCACCTGAGCTTTTTACAAAAATAGCTGTGGTAGGAATTTAAAGTCTCAGACACTGAATCCTGATCAACTGTTGTACTACATGTCGAGGTTTTAGCGACAGCAGAAAGAGGTTTTCAAGTCCTGCTCACGGACACGCAGGCTGCAACGAGCTTCAACGGGCCTTCCTTGGAGAATCAGTCTGATCCTTAATATACTCCATATCAGCCACAGACAGCAGGGGGAAACCCTGACAGACATGAGCAGATAACACAATTTACCCCACCCAGACACTGGAGGAATAATTTGGGCTTAGCTCTGCCAAACTGATTTCTCAACAGCTACAGACCTGTCTGTAAAAAGAGGTCACAGGATGGATTTTTGGAGTGTCCCATTTGCACTTGCACATAGAAATATCATGTCCTAATGAAAGAAATATAAGCTCTTATTTTAAGAAAATCTTAAAATTTTAAGAAATCAAAAAGCCCAAGACTGTTTGTTTAATAATGTGCCATGTCATGTTGATACTATTAAAAATGTGCCTGTGGCTGATTTCCTTCCACTTTTTCAGCAGATGGCAGCATCCTGGATGACACAAGGAGCCTGTCCACAAGAAAACTAGCCACCACTCACTAAAAGACGATTCAAGTGATTTGAAGCCATTTGTTAATCCAATCCATACTGACCGTATTCAAACAATTCAATAAACAAACCTTTCTGTATTGTGAATTACTCCACAGCGTATGGCTGCTGTGTCAATGTAAATGGGCAGATAAAAAGAAATGACTGGAGCAGTGACACCTCAGTAACCTGCAGAGATGATAGCTTGGTGTGTGGCATTGAAAACAAAATGGAGCTTGATGTCAGTGTCTGTCACAGCTCCTGTGTGTAAGCATGTCAGAAAAGACTGAGTCTGCAAAAAACCTGCACATAAAAAAAAAGGAGTACAGGGGTGAACAAACTGAACACTACCAAGAACAAAACACCAGTAAGGCTGATCTCTGTTAAATGACTCAGGAAGACCCGCCCACTTCACTGGCTGCCAACTATCATACATCAACATGGTCTTTGCTGAGCAGACAACCATAACGTCCCATGGTTACAGCTAACAGCATTGTTCATAATCAGCCCCACAGTACTTCCTTAAAAATTGATTAGCCAAATAAATATCAAAAGTAACAACAAATGGCAACTGACATGAGCCCAGAGTCCCGTCCTTAACACCGACACATGCTTTCCATAAGCTGATGTGTACACTGTCCCTGGGTGACTGAGTGTAAAGTCTCTCAGAGTTGAATCTGATAAACTAAGCAGACAACTGGGTGACTTAGCTGAGTAAAGCAAACGCTGCCTTTCAATCATCTTGAATACAATTCTGAATCTTAAATTCTACTGGTGCGCTTCATTAAAAGAGATTTTGGTCAAGGACTCCGTCATAGTTACTGAGCCAACATCGTCAGCAGATAAGACAACAGTGTTTCAGCTAAACTTCAGTGTTGCACTCGCTTCTCCTCAATATGTCTCAGTGTCCTAACACTGTGCAACCACCACTCTGAGCCGAGGTGATCACTCAGGCAGAGCTTGTTGTTGGATTCAGTTCGGACGGCTCACCGTGCTAGCAGGTGGCCAGCAGCAGTCACGGAAGGCTGAGGGCCAGTGAAGCTGAAAGCACCGTACTGACAGTGCCGGCTATGAGAGGACAAACAAGACAACAAATGAAATGACTGAAATCTGAATCTGAAGCTTCTGTAATAAAATAATTATGGAAACCAGCAGCAATTGTTTTGTGCCAAAATTAAAGTGTGTGGTTAACATACTCCTGAAGATATCTCCAGGGTGAGTTATATCTGTCAGCCTGTTTGTTTTCAGTTACTCTCGACTGAAAATCAGGACTTGTGATGTGCTAATCCTGGTCAGATGTTCTTCCATTTTAACAGATAAAAAACAGAAGCTAAACCTTTTATAGCTGACAGAAACCATTTTACTGTCATCATTGTATCAAAGAAATTCAAAATCAGCCTAAGGGATTGTTAAAACATCACCGTTGTCCATTCAGGGACAGGCAATGCAACCGAACTGTTTCATGTTTCATTCTGATGTCATTACAAAATAAAAAGTTATTAGAACAAAAAAAATTTAAAGTGAATATAAGAGTTTTACTGTCAGCAGTATTAAATTAATACCACTGCTGATATCACCACTTTAAAGTCTGGTAAACTATTATTGGCATCTATTATTATTTTGACATTTTACAGACTTAACAATAAACTAATCAACAGATTAATCAGTAACAACTGCTGTTAGCACAGATGCAGTCCCAATCCAAATCCCCCAGGCTTAAAGGTCTGAAACTTGGTTTTACCTAGGGTAGCACTGCTGCTGTTGAAGAACCATGCTGTGTCCTCCATCACACTGGGCTGGCTCCTGTCATGCCATGACACCTCCTGAGTGGATGCCAAGATGTGGGATGACTCCTGGAGATTTGACCTGCTCCCCGTGTCCAAAGAAGCACCCGGTCTTTCTGCCTGAGGAGGCTCTGCTGAGGCCGGCTTGGCGGGGGATGACTTGCTGCTGCTCCGAGATGACACCGGCTTGGATTCCTCATCACTGTCAAAGCCAAATGGATCCTCTGAGCCATCACCACACAGACGGGGCCTTTTATACACCTCCAGGACAGAGTCACTCTTGGGAGCGCCAACACGCTTCGAAACCTTGGCCTTGTAGGTAGTGGCACCCCATTTGGTACTGAGGGTGCCTCTCTTGGTGGACAGAACTTCATCAAACTTGGACGAGCCCTCTCCTCCCTTGCGGCTGTAGGTTTTACCAAATCTGGATGTCATTGTTGCATCTGGGTCATATTCTCTAAGACAAGGAGACGAAGGAGCAGAACCATTTAGGAGTGGATGACAACATATTTCATTGATAATGGATGTGACTGCCCCACACAAACCATTTTTTTTTTTTACAGTTTTAGTCAAGTACCCTAGATTTATTTTTGTTTTGTTTACAAATTGAACAGCATTAGTCAGTGCCTGACATGTCCACTTATGAAACGATTAAATACAAACAGAGCCATGGCAATAATAAATAACATTCACATAAGATCGGGCTTCTAAAATTTTTGTTTGCAAGTAAAGCGTAAAATCGGTTAATTTAACTATTGTTTTAAGGTACTTTAATTAACAATATTATTAATATATGCATGCGTAGCTGGATGCTAGAATTACTAGTTAACAGCTCGTACTTCTCAGCCAGCTGGTTTGACAAAACACGGCTAACGTTAGCTTGCTAGCGAGTTAATATGCTAACTTGCTGCTATCGGTGCAATTAGGATGCCAGCAGAAGAATTAATGGAACCACAACAAAACAATGGTAGAGGTAAGAAATCCAGAGCGTATAACTGTGTTTTTCTGTGGCGACATATGTATTATGTAAAAATATATCACGTACCAAACTATTAACGTTAGCACGAGTTTTAGCTGATAGCACTGATAGCATTGGCAAAAAGCTCAACAGACAAGACGGGAGCCATCACTCCAGTAAACTGCTAGCTTGAAGCTAACAGCTAACAATAACTACAAACTGACATCGTGTCGTGCCACAACCAAACATCCAGACAGAGCCCATTTCCTACTGGCAAACGAATATTGATTGTTATCTAATATTTCCACCTACTTGGTGAGCTAAAGGGCTGATCCGCACAGAACACACTCCAACGGCCGTTAAACTCACAGGACCGGGCCTGCTTCCCCGATTCAAGCTGCCCCGCACAGTATAAACAAGGCCTTAGAGGCGCCGGCAACGACAAATTAGCGAGTTTGAAACAAAGGTAGGAGAGCAGCAAAACCAGGGCGTAGAGAAAAGACACGTTTTATAAAGCTATCTAACAAAATTGGCTTTGATTTTTAAGCTAAATCGCACTCGATTGTCTCCTCCGGGCTGCGACGAAGGCTTCCATTGGACTCCCCTGCTGCGTCAAGCTAACCGGAGATAGCTGAACGTGGCCGGAATCTGGTTAATCATCCTTAAAAATAAACGTATCAATTGAACAAACGGAAAGACCATGTAGCTAAGGCAGTGAAGCATAACGCTAACCAAAGAAATATTTACCGATTTTTTTTAAATTAACTAAACGCCCTTTATCTTACATATTTTCAAGGATGCAGAACATACACATTAAACATAATTTTGCCAGTTTCTCTTGTATGATATCTGTTTAGTTTTATTTGTAAAATTCTAACAGGAATTGCTTGTATATAATAATCTCAACTTTACCTTGCTAGCTTTATCAATGTTATCATTAAAAATGCTGCGTTCATGGGCTTCTTTTAAATAGCGCAAAAAGTACATCTGAAATTACAACCAGACAAGGTAGCACAGATAATTGTACAGCTCCCAGAGTCAGACAAAACTTTGTACATAAACACTCCAGCACTAGATTGTCCACATGCTACAAGTGTGAGTGCTATAAACCAAATGTGACATGGTAGTAAATGCTATTAATGTTTAATGTCAAAGTAAATAACACTGAGGGTAAAGCCATTGCTTTCTGATGTGGTTCTTTTGTTTAGAAGGTGTTTAGTGTCAAACTGTCCAAAGCACAGAATCAGAAGCCAGTTTATTAGTTACACCAAGCTCAAACTATTGTAGTCTAAAACACCAGCCCTGCAATTAACCATACCTTTCTGAAGGTTATAATGTTCAGTTTCTATTGAAAAAGGGGCTGATTCAACTTTACACTAATGTTTCAATTGTATGAGAAATCCAGAAATTCTCACCCAGCTGTTTGTAACTTGCAACAGATCCTTCATTTTGTGGAATATCTTTAGAGTCTGCATGGAAATGACAGGGCACTAAACATTATGATGCATTTTAATATCATACTTCAATTGTCAGTCAGTGTTTTATAAATACAGTTTGCAAAGTTACAATATATTATTTATGGTGCTATTTTTATACACACATAGATATATTGTGAAGGCTCCAGACATGAAAACAGAAAGAAATATATATAAAATTTACATGATATTCTTTAACTAATCCCTACCTCCCCATGGTTACAAAGACATTTACAGGCAATATTTTCAGAGCGTGTGCATCCCTGGTGCAGAGGTATGGGTACAGTTTCTCAGTGAAAGCGTGTATGAAGGTGTGTATGTGTGTGTTTGTGTCTGGCTCAGAGAAGGACAGCACTTGTTTTTTCCAGTCCAGATGGACTCTGATCTTGCTGAGCTTCTCTGTGACTGGGAGAGCAGTGTATTTATTTGTTGGGGAGTATGCCCTGTATCCTACATCAGTGCATTGTACACTCCATGCTGTAGAGCCCACAAATTCTTGCCTAGAGACAGACTCTGCTAACACCCCCAGTTCCCACTCTTTGTTGTCTCCAATCTTGACATCCCAGCTGTGAGTCCCTGACTGAAAGCCTGAGCCCAGGACAGAATCCCAGTACTCAAACCTCTCTGGGTTATCAGGAAGGTGTTGTCGTCTCTTTCCATGTCTCACACTGGTCAGATCCTCAGACAGGATGAGTTCTGAATTGGCAGTGTTTGGATCCAGAATCACAGGAGTGTAGGAGACCATGTCCTTCATCTTGTTCCAGATGTTGAAGGTCAGGTTGCCCAGGTGTTTCCCTACACCCTGAGCCCAGCTGTGGCTCATCCAGCAGGGGGCACTGTTGGACACTGTTCATTGTAGCCTTGTAGTTGGGCAGAAATGACACAGCCTCAGCACTCAGCTGCTTCTCTGTGGCTCTGACTGTGTCCGATAGAGCTGCTATCTCTCTGCTCAGAGCCTCCATCTTCTCTGTCATCATCTGACTCTTCTGCTCCTCTTCCTCCCTTAGAGCATTAATCCTGGCTTTCTCTTCCTCTTGTAAAAACCGGTGAAGCTTCTTAAACTGCTCCCTAATCTGCCTCTCTGTGTGTCGAGTCTGGACCTTAATGTGTTCTGCTGTCTGATTAAAGTTGATTTTAACTTCATTAAAAGCATTTAACTTCTCCTGTAACGGCTTCAGGGATTTCTCAAGCTCCTCTCTGTGATCCTGTACAGCTTCGTTGATGGGTCTGAACTTGTGGTCAACGTGTATTTTTGCATCCCGACAGATGATACACACTGGCTGCTGATGGTCCAGACAGAATAGTTTGAGTTTCTCAGAGTGCAGATGGCAGAGCGTCTCACCTCGTAATGAAGCCATCTGAACTCTCTCTTGTAAAAAAGCCTCACACAGGTTTTTTAACGCCAGGTTAAGAGGTGGATCACTCCACTGAGATTCTACCCTACAAACTGGACACTCTCGGATTTTCTTCCCTTTCCACCAGCTCTGCAGACAGACTTTACAGAAGCTGTGGCTGCACAACAGGAGAACGGGCTCTTTAAAAAATCCACTGCAGATGGGACAACTAAAATCCTCTGCTGGAAAAGAAGCCATTTTCCTTTGAGCAAAGCTAAAAAAAAAACAGGCAGATGAGAGGTGGTGTCACTCCTCCTCTAGAAAGCCTTAACAATACTTTTACTTTAAGCTAGGATTTTGTTTCCTAAAACCCTTATTCGGTTTGTGGAGTCAGCTGCTGATATAAGCGACAGTATTCCAGACATACCAGTACTCCCAGTATTCCTTAGTAGCAGTTCTTCTTTGTCAGTGGAACTTTGGTATTAGCCTGAAGGTGACGAAAGCTGCTTTGAATTGTCAACAGGCTGCATTTCCTGGTTTGTTTTAGAATGGGTGGAGCTGTGGGTTGCTTCTTAGTCATTTTATTAACATACGGAACATATTACTTGTTTAGCAGTCAGCTGTTTTAGGAGTTATTAATACTGGCAACTATAGTAACAAATAAATCTCTTTCTTAACATTGTTGTGAGCCTGCTGAAACAGTTGGGTGCATGTGTGTGTGGTCCAGAATATCTCTTCAGCTACTGGCCACATTACCACTACTGTCTGTCTCTCTCACACACACACACACACACACACACCCACACTGCTGCTACTTGTTTTTCCAGTTATGTTTGAATGGAATTCTAATGGCTCCCTGTGTTATGTTCCATGGCAACATTTTTTCAAATCAGGAATATACTACATTCATTTACTGAACAGAAACCACTTTGGTTGAGGAAAGGGAGATTATGGTCACGCCTGGTGGTTGCCTCACTTTGGACTTTTTTATTAATTCCTTAACCATAGCCAAGTGCTGGAATTATACCGTACCTATCTTAATGTTTTTGTTTTACTTGGAAATAAGTCAAATACAGAAGCTACAGTGCTCTAACTGCAGTGTCACTTTGTCTTTGAGGTGCATTCAAACTGCAAACTGTGTCTGTGTTTTGTTTTTAAGGAGAGAGACACCAGAACTGGGTAGCTGGTCTTTGCCATTTGACATAAGACCTGCAGTTCTCATTGACATACACCCTGTTGTGGCTGTCTGATTCTTCAGAGCAATCAGATCATCTTGGCATCAAGCCTTGATTCTTCAAACCACAAAACCTCTCCAAAAGTTGCTATTAAGCCTGGCTGAAATCCCTGCATGGCTTTCTGAGGCGCCCGTGCCAGCACCGGCCTTCCTGCCAGGCAGTTGACTGATGTTACTGAACCATGAGAGGGGTCCAAAGTTCTGACAATAGAGAACAGCTCTGAGCTTTTCACAGGGATGCCAGTAGCTCCCTGAGCAGGCGTTGGCTGTTCAGGATCTGGCAGATCTTCATGGTGGCACCTGGAGTGTTCAGGCATCACACAGTTTTGAAGAATAGATTGGCACCGGGGCTGCATCAGTGCTGCCATGCCTCCCTGAAAAACAACCGGGCCTTTGACATTCAGCAGATAGCGGTCGTATAGGATTGACCCTGGCAAAGGCAAAGAGGAATGAAGCCAAATGACCTATCGCCTCAGGTGTCTTTTTGGACATGATGGCTCATGCCATCAATCCATTCCACCTCCCTTCATAGTGAGGTAGAACGGATTGATGGCAAACTAATGTATCCAACTCTACTGCTAAACAGCCACACTGCTATCGGTCAGTTTTATAAAAACTCCTAACTGGTGGACAACCATGCAACTTCACAAACACTAATTTCCACTGTAATATTCTAGGTTGTCAGGTACCATAGACGACCACAGTCTTGTGAGAGATCCAGCATCAGTCAAAGTGGTCTACTGATGAGATTTTATAACATTTCCAAATGCATCACTGAACAAATTCTCGGCTTCACTGAGGCAGACAGAATCTGGTCAGCTCTCCTAAACTGCTGCACAGTGTCTGATGGAACCACACGTTATCCACTTCCCTTTGCTGTTTCTTCCTTTAAACACCATCTGACCCTGCCTGTCCTTTTACATGTGATTTACTACTGACTATTCTTCATTAAGAACTTGATGAGAATGACATTTTATCACAACTTTTGTGGTTTTAGAATAGAACTGTGCATCTCGGCAAATGAGAAGAGTTTCAGTATTTCCTGCTGTGATTGTTGCCTGTCACCACTAGGTGTCAGAAGTTTCACATTTATCTCGTCCTCTTTTCTCTCATTTTCTCCCGTCTCCCATCTCTTTTCTCTTCTCCTCAGTTCATCCTTGGTTTGTTGTTTCCTGGTTTCTCTCTCCTTTCATGTCCTCTGGTGTCTTTCCTCTTTTCTCCTCTCACTTCTTTTCTTCTGCAGCCCTACTGTATTCCAAGTGAAGTGGTCTTTAACTTCTTTCTTTATTTATTATTGATTCACAGCAGTATGAAAGAACATACTGTATGTATATTAGAAGACACAGAGGGAGGGAGGATTTACTGAACTTCACCTTTACAATGCAGAAGTGTGTGTGTGTGTGTGTGTGTGTGTGTGTGTGTGTGTGTGTGTGTGGCTTTGAATTAAAGATGGTCATCTGATTTGTGTATGGATGCATGTATGAACAGGTTGTATAAACAGCTACTGCAGGTGAAATTATGCTGATAGATAATATATCTGAAACTTTTGCATAAGTGCAGATTTTTGTTTTGTATAAAAACCTGCGAGGGGAATTGTGTGCTGAAGAGGTGGGTATGAAGCACAGTGCAAACGTCAGAGTTTAGGACAACAAACTGACATTTTACATTCTTGGTCTGGTGAAACAATTAAAACTCTGTTCCAAAGGAACTGATGTTACTGGCATTTTGCCCATGTCACAAAGATGGTGCAGGACATCAGCACAGCAGTAAGTCAAACCACAAGTATTTATCTCCCATAATTTCAGGCCAAGTTTGTACTGCTTTGAACCAGAATGTGAAAATAAGAGGGGACTGACAAGAAGACAAGATTGTTTTTCCAAGGCTCCAGTAACTTGTACTTTAGAGCACTGTGTGTAACATGAGGGACTGTCTGTCTTTATATTGAAATATTTCCCAGAATCTCTTACCTGGTAATTTCAGAAAATGATCTTATCTAGACAGAAATGGAAACACCCACAACCCACAAAAATGAACGATCAGATGGCCTTATTACCTCCAGTGTGGTAGTTCACCTGTTTGTTCACTGTTTGTTATTCTCTCCACCATCTTCCTCACTAAACACCTCTATACACACACAGAAATGCCTTTCCGCTTAAATGAATTTAGACACACACACACACACACACACACACACACACACACACACACACACACACACTTAAGGACAGTTACGCCCTGCAGGAAGTCTCCTAGTTCTGTATGAAGTGTTATAACAGATGTTATTTCCCTCTCTCAGGCTGTTTCAGTTTAATTTGCTGAAGTGTGTGTGTGTGTGTGTGTGTGTGTGTGTGTGTGTGTGTGTGCTGATATCACTTAGGATCAGGTTAGACTCAGATTACGATTATTAGTTAATGAAACAGTGGTGAGAGTTTTTCTGCAGGAAGGTCAGTGTAGTTCAGTTCAATTCAGCTTCATTTGTACAGCACCAAATCACAACAAACATCATCTGTAATGTTCCCTGAAGTGATGGAAACAGTACTGTGTGTGTGTGTGTTGACGCATGCAGACTGACGTGAACCACTTCACTGTGCACATAGGCCTGAATGAACATGAATATCCTACCAGAGTGCCTTTAGGCAAAACATAGGATCTCTACTCTGCCCTTCACTTGGCTGCTGACATTCTTTTTGTGAGACTGCATTACCCATCATCCTTTGCAAATGTGTGGGGAGGGAGAGTTCATCTCTGGTTGAAAATCTTCTGCATCAAGCTGCCAGCAGTAAGATGTGAGGACATTTTTGTGCCTTCAAAATAAAAGCAACAATTTACCACTGGAAAAGAAGAGAGATTTTCAGTATAAGAGTGAAAATCAAGACCTAGAATTAGCTGATTATGTTATAATTATAACATCACATTTATACAAAATAACAATAAAAATCAAGAGACTGTCAAACCCAAACATGATTATAAACATATTAATGTCACTGAGGTAAAAATATTCATTATGAAAGTTGGATCATAGTGACTGATGCATTATCGTGTTCATCACTTCAGTGTTGCACCTGGTAAAGGTGGACATCAAGTTAACTGCCATACCTATGATATGAAGTATTTTACATACTGCTGGGTAGCTGATGAATTTCCCACCGGGGATCAGTAAAGTGTCAGTAGTTACTGAATTTTCTTTTGTTCATCTGATTCTGAAGAGGAACTAAAGTTATCAAAAACACATAGTGCAGTAAAAAGTACAATGTTTGTCTCTGAACTGTGGTGAAGCCCAAGTATGAAGTATCAGAAAATGGAACTACTCAAGTACAGATACTTCAAAACTGTATTTAACTGCAGTATTAAGTAGGTAAACGTAGCCTACTTCGTTACTTTCCACCAGTGTATTTACTGAGATATTTCAGTTGGACTCAAAGTAGTGGGAAGTATGATCAACTTAAACTGGAATGCTGGAAGCTTAATAGCCAATGGATGAGAACTTTAAAAAGTTATTACAGATATGAAAGATAACCAGATGTACTATGCATCCAAGAGTCTTGGCTGAAGCCACAGTCAGAGTTCGTTATGACAGGATACAAATTGATCAGACGTGGTAGAGCAGGCTCAAGTTATCATTAGCCTACTGGCTAAGGATTCAGAGAGAGGACGCTGGAAATGTAGCATCCGTTGTTCTACAGAAATGCTGGGAATATGCCACATTCTCTGGTACAAAGTTGGACAGTTGGACAGTACATAAGAAAGCAAAGCAGTATAGAGTGGATAATATTAAGTTTAGCCCAGCTGTTGTTCTGAGTAACATTTCTCTGTGGCTTTTTCCTGAACCACAAACTAATCTTGAGTTACTGGATAGATGGAAAGAAGTAGACTGAGATTAGGACATACAGGCCTTAAATCAACACTAGTCATTATGGGAAAAGCAGTTTCCAATAGTAGTACTTGTAATTGCAAAGAAACAGTAGAACATATATTGTTTGAGTGTAGGAGATATGCTCTTGAAAGAGAATGTATGAAGAATAGTGTAGGAGGTTTGGGTAGGGAATAGACTTTTAAGGGCCTGCTGGAGACAGAGATGACCAACTGGTGGTACAGAGGGAAATATGTAAATATCTAAAGGAGAGAGGCCTTAAGTGTAGAATGTAATCCGCTCATAGAGGAATGATGTTGCACACTCCGGTGCAGGAAGTGAAGAGAGGAGAGGAGAGGAGAGGAGAGGAGAGGAGAAGAGAAGAGAAGAGAAGAGAAGAGAAGAGAAGAGAAGAGAAGAGAAGAGAAGAGAAGAGAAGAGGTGGTGTTTGTAGCATGGATAAACAGTCCTGTGCAGCCAGGTATTTTACTTTGAAGTGCACAGGAAATACCAAACCAAATGCCTGCATTGTGAAGCCGAAACCGGAAGTTGTGTGTTTTGTGGGGGTGACTTGACGCCGGAGTCGCACAGCAGCTACACTGGACTCGGACGGAGCCGAACTGTGTAAGTAAAACCCGCAATCCGCCGCTTTTACTCCCCGTGTGCAGCCAAACGGCCTGAGTCTGTTTGTACACAGACAAACATTCTCCCAGAAAAGAACATTTCGTAAACATGAAGCGGCTGAAGGTGGCGGGAGAGGAAATGTGGTCGGTGTTTGTAGGCCTGCGACAGTTTGATCCCCACAGGGAGGACTGGATGTGTTCATACCCACGGCTGTATGGACCGTGTGAGGTCTGATGAAAACTATGGCGTCAGTCGTGTTATTAAAAAGACTGCAATTAAATGAAACCAGTAACGTTAGGGTTAATACGGTGTTGGTTTTCATTATTGCTATGATGTTTTCTTTAATGGGTGTCTGTTGCCCTCACTTGTGAGTTTCATCTTTAAAGACATTTCAGATCTGCTCTAATATCCCCATAGAAGCTGACTGGGTGCTGGGATTGATAACAGTATAGACAGTTATGTTACAGACTTTATAGAGCTGAAACTATTAATCGATTAGTTTGATCCAGGTTCTCAGACATGGCAAACTGCTCCTCTCCTGTCACCTAACATAGAAAAAGAAACAGCTGTAGGTTTTGGATTGTTGGTTGGGAGCAACATAACACCTGAAGACTTCTGAGAACCTTGGATGAATGTTGTTTCCCTGCAGAATAATGGAGAACAAGAATAACAAATGGTCGCAGCCCAGCTTTCATACACTGTGGTTTCTCTGTCATTGTGGGGATTTCTTCAGCGGCTGTGTGACAATTTGGACTTGTTGTTGGACTCGTGTAGTTTTGGATTGTGAGAAACCAAAACTCACTGGTCCTGTCCTCGGCAGGCCCTTGCAATCCAGTCCTCCTGAGGCGGCGCTGTGTTCCCCAGCATCAGAGGAGTGATGGGCAGATATTGTGGGGTCATGTGCTTGGGAATTCATTTTGGGAATTTGACATGAAATCAAAAGGAGTTTACATTTTACAGTTACACAGGTTTTTAGGCCATTCGGGTCATTTTTAGTCTAAATGTTTTGACACTATCATGAAAACAGGGAGCTTCATAAATTCAGTGTTCACATCAGGTCATGCTGGACCTGCCGTACAGAATCTACGGAGGAACAACGTCTCATGCGTTTAGAACAAGAAGTTCAGATGCCATTAGAATGCAAACGTTGTTTCCCAATGTCAGTGTGTTGTTATAGGAAAAGTGATGCAAGTGTGTAGAGATGCTGATTTAGAAAGACAGTTAGTAGAACATGAAACCTGGTGGACATTCAGAGGAGGGATCTGACTTGTCTCCACACTGAGGTTTGTGCTACCGTGACTTTTGGAGGCTGACCTGGTAAGTTCAGTTATTATGTAGCTTTTTGTAGTATACTGAGGTAGAGATGATGTTTTTGAGTCACATTAATTGTCTGCTTGTATAATTAGAATTGTCTTTGTTTGTGTAACTTCCGTACAGTTCTGTGAATGTGTGTATGATTTAGTCTTTGGTGGTTAAAGGTTATGGACTGAATGTTGTGAGCTTTCCAGATCTGAGGACACCTCTGATTCCAGGTAACCTGGTACATCTGTTGCAATATGGTGACTGACGCTCGTAAACAGGTGTCCACCATGAAAGTGAAAGATTATTGTGTAGTGAAGACAAAGCTGAAACATCTTTTCTCTCACCTTTCTGAGGCGTGATGCTTTGAGTTAAATAAAAGGAAACATCTGATTGATGTGGCAGTGTGGCAGATAAGCTCCAATTAAAAGGAGTTGTTATTATCCAGCAGTGTATAGAAATACATATGTTGGGGATACAGGTTACACAATGTTTAACTGAAACAAACAAAAAACATGATGTGGAATTTCATAATATGTTTCAGGCTGTTTCATTGGGCTGCAAAAGATCTGTTAGATCAAATGACTGTGTGTCCTGTAGAGAGAGAGAGAGAGAGAGTGTGTGTGTGTGTGAGTAAACGGTCAATGAGAGAGAGCCTGGCCAACGAGGGAAACAGATGCAGAAGTCACAACAATGACGTTTTAAAATGTCTAGATCTTCCTTTCCTCCATTGTTGTCTTTTTTCCCATGAGTAATGAGCCGACACACATCAGGTCCGGTGGGTCGAGTCCTGCTGGTTTCTTCTCCTCCAGTTCCTGTCTCTGTCAGGGGCCTCATTAACAGAAGTGTCATTACTCATCGGCCAGCGCTCTGATTGGCTGCACATTCATGCCTTGATCAAAACCATGTGCAGTGTTACACAAACCTGATTGTGAGTTAGATGTTGAATACCATCATACCTGTTCAGAGTGAAAGAGGAAACACACTGGATGACGACACCTGATAAAACTGCTCTGTAGTGATGATGTAAACTGTTACAGCAATTGTCAGACATGCACCGTCCTCTCAAAGTGTCAGTATTGTTCTAGAATCGGGGATGATTAAACAACCCAACATTTCCCAAAAGCACAAAATATCCCTTATCAGAAAACTGCACTTTATCAACTTGTGTTTTCCCTGTGACCGTCACCAAAGTCACTGTCAGGTCTGGGGACGTTTGACATACCAGCTGTTCCCGTGCTTCCATTCTTTTACCAACACACAGCCTCACTGCATCTTGAAAACTGTGCCCATAACGCATGTAACCGAGGCAACATCGTCCGAATGTTGCTCTGGTTGAGTGCCTCAGCTGATAACCGTCGGCCTGTCTCTCCTGGCAGCGTTTCTGTGATGCCCCAGGGCGGGCTGAGCTGCTCGGGGTTGTGATGCCTTACGTGGACCGACAGAATCGCATCTGCGGCTTCCTGGATATCGAGGAGAATGAGAACAGTGGCAGGTTCCTGCGCCGATACTTCATCCTGGACACTCAGCAGGGCGGCCTGCTGTGGTACATGGACAACCCACAGGTGAGGCTCTGTGTGTGTGTGTGTGTGTGTGTGTCATCGCTGAAAGCTTCTCAACCATCTGAGTGCACTGCTCTGTCTGTACATGTGTGTTATGTAGAGTTTGGTGTCATTTGAAAGGATTTTGGTGCCTGTGTGTGTGTGTGTGTGTGTGTGTGTGTGTGTGTGTGCCTTTAATGAGGAGGTGAGCTTGGTTCTTTGTTGAAGTTCAGCAGATGTTTGTCTCTCAGTTGCACTGACAGACTGGTTTCCTGCCTTCAGTTTCAGTTCATTGTAACAGTTCAGTTGTGAGGTATTTGAAGCTTGTTTCGAGGAGATAATCAGTCATATGTAGATACCTTTCTTTGGTAAATGTTGTTATTGGTAAGGTGGTTAGAAGCAGGGACAGCTTTAAAGTCTCCTCAGTGGTGCTTTCATGGACACTCCTGACTAACAAATGATAGCTGGCCGCTGAAACGCATCATTACATTTGCGATCTACTATATCAGAAAAGCCAATGCCTAGGACAAACAATGGGCAAACATGCTCTCTATTATTATTACAAAGGGTACAAGGCTTCAATTTTAACTGCCAACTCTCAAATGTCTGTCTCAGCTCTAAGCTTATTGTTTCCTTAAGGCATAAATCTTTACAAACAGGTTACAGATATGTATTTTCCAAAACCTGAAAAGTTCTCAGCAGGATATTACCAGTACTTAACAAAAATGGAACATTTATTTAAAGTGCATAGTCACATAGGTTTCAGAACCTTTCACAATAAAAAGAATAAACCAATGAAGATATGTAATCTTAGGACGGTGAGGTGTTAACAACAGGATGTATACAAGGCCTTAACAATGAGGAAAGTCCAGAGCAATCTGGAAGAAAAGGATTTAAGAGGAAGTTGTGGGTGTATAGAACAGAACTGTAATGAATACAATCTGTCGTTAGCTGGAAAATGAAAAACACATTCCACTTGTGTGGGACAAGGTGGGTCAACCCTTATCAGACACATCGGAATGGTTTGACAGAGTCTCTGTGTCAAACCCAGTGGACAAACAGGAACTGGGGAGAAACCGAAAGTGAGTAGCACTATTTCATCCAGTGGGGAATTCCTCAGACAGTGCAGCATGTCGAGCACGCTGCCAGTGCACGAACGTTCATCTGACGGTGTGATAATGAATGTCAGCTGCTGGTGTTGATATTATATTTACTGATAGGAAGACCATGTTCATGCATGTACACCTCAAGTGCTGACATCTCTCTCCAGGTGTGTTTCCTTGTGAGAGTGGAGAGTTCTCTGGAGCAGCCTGTGGACCAGCATCTCCCACGGAAACTACACCTTTTAGATTTGAATAAAATCTGTCCAGTGTTGGTGTTCCTTGTTCTCCATAGTAGTACCCCCACCACTGCTGATTCTTCTACTTGGACTACCGCCATTACAACAAATCCTAACAATAATAAAGCTAATGATTCTAATTTTGTACTTTGTTTAGAATCTGCCTAAAGGTGCGGAGAAGGTGGGCTCTCTCAAACTCACCTACATCTCCAAGGTCAGTCCTTTCTCTCTCTCACAAGCCTTTAGTGTGCCCCTCACGTTAATCATTTAACGCTGATTAGCCACTGTTGCAATGTGAAACCAAGACTAGTGCTGGTTTGTTATCAGCTGTGGCAGTTTGTTTTTGGTGACAGCAGTGACATTAATCTGTGTTTTGTGTTATCTTTGGCAATTAGTGCTAATTTTTCTGTATTTATTATTATTGACTGCAGTTTGTAAGCCTCTCTGGGATATTAAAAACCTTACTTTTTTCTCTGCTTCAGGTCAGTGATGCTACCAAACTCAGACCAAAGGCGGAGTTCTGTTTTGGTAAATTCACCTTCTTTGTCTTCTCCGGTCTTTTGGTGTGTTTGTACTAGGGGTTGCAACAGTATAACATTTTCACGGTGTGATAACTGTCTCAGAAAATATCCAAGTTTCATGGTATTTTGGTATATGGTAATACACAATTACTATTATTATCAGCTAAAATGACCCTCAAAAGAATGAAAACAGGATGGACACAACTATTGCCTGTGCCAGTTGATTGAGCTGGACTGCAACTAGATTGACCCTAAAGAATAAACAGAGTTTTAAATATAGCATGTAAGTATAACATATAACTAAAGCATGTTAGTTTGCATATTGGCACCAGTAGTAGAGGAAGTATTCACATCTTTTACTTCAGTAGAAGTACTACCGTCACACTGTAAAATAGCCTACGGTGTTACGAGTAAAGTCCTGCATTGAAAATGTTAAGTAAAATGAAGTTTTAGAACGAATGGCCTTTAGTTCCAGTGGAGGAAAAGCTAAAGCTTTGACGTGTACCCGGCTCACGTCACTTACACACACGGATGTGAAACATCAACTCTGTCTGCGTTAAGGCCTGTGATTTGAACGTAGCCTTCAAGCTACAGGTTACAGTGCTTTGGGAGACAGTAGTGAGCGGTTAGTGTCTGCAAGCAGATTAATACCCACGGCCTCAGCTTTGGTCATGCTTTCCCATCCTTTTTTACCCCCACCTTCATGACCATGTGCCTCTACCCCTTCCTCTTCCTTGCTTCCTTCCCAGTCTCCCTCCTTCCCACTCCTTTTGTTCTCCCCCTCTGTCCATGTCTCTCTCCCTCCCTCTTTTCCACTCCTGTTACATTTATTTCCTCTCTGTTTTTCCTTGCTACTGCTTGTTGTTCCTCTGGTGGCCAACAGTAGCCTTTTGTCACTCAATAGGAGGAAACTGTACACTGACCTTGACCTGATCTCTGTATGTGTGTGTGTGTGCGTGTATCCAGATGTGGCTGGGTTGTAACATACACACAAACACACACGTCCTCGACCTCTGAGAAACCAGAAGCAAACTGATATATTTAGATCATAAAATGCATGAAGTTCGGCGTATTTCTCTTCTGCTTGTCTGATGTTTCACATTTAGGAGATGATAACAAACCACACATTTCTCTCTCTCCATAGTTATAAATGCAGGAATGAGAAAGTTTTATCTGCAAGCCAATGACCAGCAGGATTTGGTGGAATGGATCAGTGTCCTCAACAACGCCACCAAGATTACGGTGAGGCTCACACCAACAACGCACACCATCTGCTGCCTCAGGTGGTAGCAGAGCGGCAATCACCCATGGGGCCAGAGAGAGAAGGTTCAGGTTTATAACAGTGTGAAGGGAAAGAAAACTGAAAAGTGAGGCTTTCATATTCACCTGCAGCTGCAGTGGAGGACTGGCAGGCACCAATCTCTGGTCCTGGAAGTTTTATTTCAAACTGTAAATCACAATTCAAAGTTTTCTTTCACTGATGACATTGTTGTACATCAACAGAGAAGCACAGGTATCTGGTGGATGCTTCATCTGTTGTGGATTCTGCTGGTTTCTGCAGAGATCTTAAGAGAAACTCATCACAAATGTGTTAGTTCGCAGTGCGTTCCACCTTTGGTCCTTTAGTGAGTGTCTGGCAGTGACAAAATAAACTAGTGTGTTTTTTCAGTCACGTGATTTTAAAGGCTAGTGCTGATAATATGTAATAATTTTAATACTGTGAAAAGATGCAGTGTAATAATAATAACAGACAGGACTGTGGTTCATGTCCTGTTGTGTTTTTAGGTGCCAAAGCCAGGCGAGGGCCACACAGAGACTCCCCAGGAAGTACATGGAGCCATGAAACAGATCTCCTACAAGACCGAGATCATAGGAGGAGTCCCTATCATCACCGCTACACAGGTAACAACACACACAAGTCGAGTGTGTTGCGTTGGCGGCAGCAGCTCAGCGGGTTCAGTCTTGTCTGTGGCGGTATGCAAGCACGTGACCCAACGAGTGACGGCTGGTTTGAATTTCATGAGTGAAAAATGTCCATTGAAATTAGCACCTACACTCAGCTACTGGAAACTGGAAACCTAAAAACAGAAATGTTGTGGAGCTGCACCTCATCTGTGCTACAGGCTACAGAAACTGTTAGCCACTACTAGCACAGCACAACAGAACATCCAAACCAAACCATTAGCAGCTGTGTTGGAATGAAAAAGATGACGTGTTTTTACAGCAGCTCTCTGTTCTGACTGCCAGTGTTATAGGAGTATGATGCTAAACTGGTGGATTACGGGCAACAAAGGATATAATCTGATGATACAGTTACTGAACTGAGGGAACAAAAGTATCCTGAGCACACATTTGTAATTTTAGAGAATAAATTTTAGTTTGAAATCAACAACAGGAAGGGGTGATTCACAGCTGCATTGTGCTACAGGCACCGTTCTCTGCCAGCCTAAAAATATAATGAGTATTATTTATCTGCTGTTGACACTGTGTACTGAGCTGTTTACCATGCTGTAGTAAAACTGCTTTCCTAATTGAAGTGAGCTAGAAGAGAGCGGCTGTTGGACAGGAAGACGACTCCAGATGAATGCTAATGTTTCGCTGTATTTACCAACGTGTAAATAAGGTGTTCACCATGTCAAATGTTTGGTTTTCTGAACATACATTTGTGTGTGGGTGTGTTTTAGGAGCAGGGGGAGGGGCAGAACGGGGCCGAGCGTGGAGGCTTGAAGCAGCCTCAGAATCAGCTGCCCTACTTCCTGTCCAGAGAAGTGCAGGACCAGTCTGTCATCAAGGCTGGATACTGTGTCAAACAGGGAGCTGTGGTTAGAACACACAAAGACACACACACACACACACACACACACACACACACACACACAGGGTTAGTCTGTCTCATCACAGGGGATAAATGTTTGTGATTGATCTGTGGCTTATTTTTTTGTATTTGGTTTGTCCACAACTTTTGTCTCCATGTTAACAGCTTGTCTTCCTCTTCCTCAGATGAAGAACTGGAAGAGGAGGTACTTCATGCTGGATGAAAATGCCCTCAGCTACTACAAATCTGCACTGGTGAGAAACCTGGTATTTCAGTGAAATACACTGAAACATGTTACAGCAGAAAGCTGAGCGTATCCAGGTTACAGATGTGCATGTAAACACACTGGCTGTGGTTTACTTTACACAGACTTAGTCATGAGTGCATGCCCATGTTTGTCTTTCTGTCGTTGTGAAGACACTTACCCATCACAACTGAATGACTGCCCTTTACCCAAACATAATTCTAACCTTAAAGACAAAAATCTAACCTTAACCCCTCAAACAGCTCTCTAAAATTGTATGGACCAAAATGTCCTCACCAAAACTGTGCACACAATTATAGAAAGATGTACACCCCCCCACACACACACAGTTTAACAGAAGTTAGTACAGCAGTGTAACTGTACAAATGTTGGAGATATGAGACAGAGTAATAGAACTGTGTGTGTGTGTTTGCGTGTGTGAGCAGCAGTGCTTGTTTTGCCTTCAAGGGGTTGTGTGTCTCTGCACGTAACAACAAGCATCCTGCATACCTCCTCATTTGATCCACATGGAGACAGATTAGTGAAGCAAATGTATGGACACACCCTGTGTGTGTGTGTGTGTGTGTGTGTGTGTGTGTGTGTGTGTACTGCACAGAGAAAGTTCGTACATGCCTTACTGAGGGAGACAGATGGAGAATAAAGGTGTGAAGTGGGAGGGACGGCTGGTTTCTCCCCACTGTAAATTCCAATTTGAAACCCTTTCTCTTCTCTCTGCCAGATTCAGTGTTACTTCTGAGAAATCATCTTTATTCTGTAAGATCCGTAGGGGGTTGGCTCCATCACTACAGCACCTCTGAGCCAATTCACCACACCATAGCAGCTAAATGCAACCGACTGAAAATCTAAAAAATGAACCAGTTTCAACTTCCGAATGTGTTATCAGTGTTCTATAAAGGTCATTTTTTAGATTTTTGCAGAATTTTAGGGTCTATGATCAGAGGTTTCTCACTAAAATTGCACCTGGGAAGTTTTGTTTTTACACAGGTTTGTATCTGTGACTCCCTGTTTAAAAAAACCAGGTGGTTTCTAACACATTTTGTACTGATGTCCACCTAAGTGCTCCAAACACTGAACAAGACTTTTTCTCCTTCAGCCTTAACCACCCACACTAACCCCTCACAATGCAGTTCACCTGAATGGAATCAGGACAAGCTTAGTAAAACAAAAAAAAAGAATATTAGATGGGTCATTTGGCGGTTATGGCTGTTTTATGTTTTGTGATGTGAGATGTGGTATTGTTTTCTCTCTTCCTCCTCACAGGAGAGAGAGGCACTGAAAGTCATACCGCTGAAGGAGATTCACAAAGTTCAGGAGTGCAAGTACAGGTGAGTAAACTTTGCTCTGTGCAGATGAAAACCTGCTGCTGTCCAGGCTTTTAAATCTGCAGCTGCTCTGTCCCTGTGTTCTGCAGTGAGCTGATGATGAGGGACAACCTGTTCGAGGTGGTCACGAGCTCCAGAACCTTCTTTGTACAGGTAACACACATGAAGATGATTGAAACAACATCAACTGAATGTACTGATGAGGGTGTCTGTTGCCTTATTGCTGGCTGAATCGCTTTGTCCACCCATAAAACACCAAGGACTCACTCACTCTCTTTTTCTGTCTGTCAGGCTGACAGTCCACAGGACATGCACAGCTGGATTAAGGCCATCTCAGGGGCAATTGTGGCTCAGCGCGGCCCTGGACGCTCAGCTAACACTGTAGGTACCTGCCAGACTCCTGTTGAGACAATGTTGCCAAAAGACACACAGTTCTCAAGGAACTGTAAGTATCGATACTAGTAGTAGCAGTGGCGGGCCGTGCATTTGGTACCTGGGCCTTCAGTGGAGACTCACCCGACTTAATTCACCTCTTAATACCACCACCGTACGTCGCAATTATAGACACCATCAATACTATACAAAGACGCAATATAATAAAGTGTGGCATTACAGAGAGAGAGGTATTTCGCGTATTGAGGGTGAATACCGTTTTTACTAAACGAAAAAGAAACCCAGTTAAGACAACTCCAAACCTCTACACTACAACCGCAACTGTGATCTCTGCGTTTCAGTTCCATCGTAAGCCCTTTTCTAGTTTTGCTCTGACCAACCAATCAGAGGACGGAAAAATGCTGACATCATTGTGGGCCAGCTAGCTGGCCCTGTGAGGCGAATTTGAAATCTGATTGGTTAAAGAAACAGTCCCATTGCTAATATAGTTTAAGTTACATGGGCCAGCACTTCTGATTCTGAAGGCCCTGGGCAGATTAGATTGACATGGCAACACATAGAGGCTGAAATCTGATTGGACAAAAAATCTAACATCTACATACACGTACTGGAAGCGGTGCAGCCAAGAGAAATACTACGAAATGAAGAGAACAGACTGTTGGGAATAAATTAATACAATTTCATGGAACAAATATTAGAACTTCGGTTGTAAATGTAGATCAGTGCTTCTAATAGTTTTAGGCCAGCAGAGCAGGCCTTACTGGCCCTGACGGCCTGCCACTGAGTAGTAGTACTAGTAGTCCTGGTTGAACATGAACACTTTACATAATTTAGGTTTATTCTTTTCACTTTACCAACTGAACCTACGCACAAGAACATATAAAAAGAGCCAACGGCAACACACATACACAGTTGGTACACACACCAGCAGCCACAACGATTAAGATAAATAATGCATTTAGGTTTTTGGTTTTGGTCTGAGATGTCACTCTGAACGTTCTGATCCCTTCACTCTGCACCCAGAAGGAGCTCCATGTTGTTTATGTTGAATCAGGTGAGATGGCGCCCCCTTGTGGCAGAGTCACAACAGACAGCTTACTGGGATAAAACATCAAACTTTTTATTTAGATTGCTTTAATTTATCCAGAAAAAAAAATGGATGACCTTTAGACTCAGCTTCAGTCTCACCTTATCTGTTGCCCGTATTTAAGAATAAAATCATAGTAAAATAGGAATATCTATGGTTGTTATTTCAGTATAATGCTTGTGGTACTTTCAATTTTGTACAGAGTCAATAGATGTTTAGTAATTCACATTTTCAGGGGTGATGATGATGACTGAAATGGATTTTCACACACACCCTATCTTTCTCTGTTCTTACTTCCTTCTCTGTTCCTCAGTCTCTTTTCTCCCTTTGCTTTCATGCCCACATAATTATTCATCAAAAGCAAAGAGGTGAACAAAGTTAAAATACATATAAGATATCAAATTGAAGAGATTGAACTACACCAAGGCAGGTGAATCTTTGGGCCTGTTAGCAGGATATCTCATGGACCTGTTAACAAATGCTCATTGAGTTTGTTGTTAATCAGTAAAGGCTTTTTAAGATATTATCTGACAGCAGTCAGCTGTTAACTCATACTGCCTCCCTCATAGACAGATGTACATAAATGAAATTTATTTGAAGGTTTCTTGTTCTTGTAACATTTTATACTTGGACCCAGGACATTTTAAAGGGCTGCTTAACATGTGGGAATTTAATTTTATTTTCATCCCAACTCTTGTCAGGTGTAGACTAGTAACAGCTGACTTGTCTGGCACCATTATATAAGTGGAAAGAAAACTGAACAGTGTAAACAGGCAGAATGTGACAGACCTATGCGATATGAATGTTCAGTGTGCTAAAGAACAAAAACACAGCCTGGGCTGAATGCAAAACTGAAGCTAATGCAAAACAGTTGCATAGGAATGTTAGTTGGTTAAAAAGCACAGTGTTGTAACTGCTCTTCCTCTCTCGGTTCTCTTCTGGACATGATGGCCCCTGTGGATGGATGGTGGATGTGTGAGCTCTTCACATGACTATAACTGAGCTGTGCTGTGAACTGTTGTTTTCAGATTCGTCAGGCCAGAAGGCTGTCCAGCCCTTGTATACAGAGGTATACACCCTTCTGCAGTGGTGAATGCAGCACGTATGTGACCTCGCCCCTTTCCTTTGAACCCCATCCCCCCACCCCAGCCACCAGCCTCACCTGCACACCACAGGTGTTCTCTGTCCAGCTGAGGTCTGTTATTGTTAGCTACCAGAGTGAACCCTGTAGCATCCATCCATCCTAGAGCTGCTCCTGGTTGTATGATGTGTTCCACCTGATGCTTAAAATCCAAGCAGGGGTTTGTAGTAACAGCAGGTCGATAGTTTGAGTGTCATTGCATAAATTAAAACAGGTCAACCTTACAAAACAGTTTTTGTTGTTGTTTTGGTTGGATTTGATGCATGGTGATGCATCCAGTCACAATCTAATCAGCCGGGACACAGTTGTATACAGGTGGAAATAGGTGCTTCAGTGGTTTGGGAACTATCATGTAGATAGAATAAAAATGACCCAGACTTGTTGGCTGATGTGCTTCCTCAACACTCCTGAACGTTTCATGCCGGAATGCCGTTTGTTGGCAGCGTCCACCATCTTAACTCATCCCACACAGGCATCATTGATTTCTTATTGATGTTCCATTGACTAAGACATCCCAGCTTCTCATCGTTTTTAATTTCTGAAACGACCTAAACATGTACGTCCATCGACATGCGGCCATCCATCCTCATCAGTTGAGTCAACGTGTGCTTTCCTTTTTCATTCTCATAACATGACCAGTCATCTTTTTATGTCACCCTCTTCCTTCCTGTCTTAGGTGGCTTTTTCCTGCTGCCATTATTCACGCCTTAATAATATTTACAGTGTTACTGACTCCAAGCAGAACTTCGCAAAACCAAATTCATCATGAGTTTTTTCCCGCTAACCCTCCTTCATGTGGTCTTCCTGTTTTTCTTCTGCATGTTTGTGTGTGTGTCTGCTTTTCAGAGAGTGAGGTGTGACAGTGATGTACTAACCTTCCCCAAATGAGCCCTGCTGCCTACTTCCTGTCCTTCCCACTGCTGCTCATCGTCCAATCACCAAGCCCTGCTACTGCCTCTCCGCTTCCTTAGCAACTGCTGCTCGATCCTGTCCTGCTCCTTGGCAGCTGCAGCATCACTTGTTCGTACGTCTTGCTTGTAACTGCATGAACCCTTGTTGTTATGGTCACAATTCACAGCATTTCTTTGGAACCAGTACTGTGTGACCCCATATCTTAGCTTATTGTTATTATAACTGGAATCATGACCAAGGTTGTGATGTAAACAGTAAACTGTACCAGTCAAAAAGTCCAGATTACATCTATGATCTTTACCTTTACTGTTACTTTATGCTATCAAAATGCAAATTGGGGCCTGAAATCTGGAAGTAAATGTCTGATAGGCTGGAGCCCTTCAAGTCTTTGATGCACCAGAAGCTCTCTTTGCCCAATCATCAGCAAAAGCTCTTTGACAAAAAAAAGTCAACAGTACAAGGCTGTGTACATTAAAACTTAAGCATGGCTCAAGTATGACTCCAAAACAAAACATCCAGTCTGCAGTATTTAGAGCCATCCCCCTACTTTCTCAGAAACTAAGCAGAAATAATTAAAACCGATGGCTGTAACCGAAACCTAGAGTATTATTAAATAATCCTGTTTGAATATTGAGGAACACTGAGGAAATCTTTACAAGACAACATTTAAACTGTATGTCTTCTTTCCCAACAAACCTTTTATTAAAAGCATTGATGCAGCTGTAGATATGGTGTCACACAGCTTTCCTCTTCGTTAACGGCCGTTTTCATTGATGATATCGGCGGTTTAGCTTAGCTGGGCTATAAGTGTTAATTAAGATGGTTAAAGTGTTTCAAAAAGCTTTAGTGTTAGCTAGCTTAGTTATCAGGCTAACAGTGTAAACCTTTTTCCTCCTCATTGTGCCCTAACAGATGTGTGGGTGTATTCCTTGTTATCATACTGTGGCTGAAACATAAATTATGCAGATGAAAGTATAATGGTATGTGCTCTGTGACCACCAGGATCCTCCATTCAGCTAGCAGCACTAAGCTGCTACAGATGCTAGCACTGAACCTTGCTTTATTTGCCTTTTTAGGAAGTCCCCATTATCTGAAAGCGTATTGGCCAAACAGCTATATTGCCTAATATTGTTAGATTCTGTGTAGGTGCTGAGTTCTCAGTGCTGTTAGGAAGTAATTCTGTTGACAAACTGAGAGGCTTCTGGTGGCCATACAGTACATGTGTGTCTGGCTGCTGTGTCCACTTTCCCTGCAAATGCAAGTTAAACGCTAGTTAAACGTTTCCTTGATCATCAGCAAACAGAACGTAAGCTAATCTGACAGTCATCAGTGACAAAAGCTAATTGATACTCTCATAAATAGCTTTGAACAGTGCATATGCCGATGGTTTAGTGCACAGATTGTTGAATAATTAATGTCTGAAAATTTGTCAGTTTTTCCGTCCAGGACGTACCTGACAAAACTTTTCTTATCTGAAGATGGGTTTTATTTTAGGACGTTTTCACACTGTAGCTACGACTGAGTCGTACCCTCTGTATGAATTTGGGGATGTGAAGTCCAGTTAAGTGCATACCTATATTCTTTATATTTGCCCAAGAAAAATGTGGGATATGTAAATTAATAAATACAACACAGCAGGCTCTAGTCCTAAATAAATACAGCAGATGAATGAATAAGCCAATGCAGCTTCTTTTAAAAGCTCTAAAATCCTGCCTTGTCAGTAAAACAACTTTTTCCTTCAGACTTTGTGACTTGACAAGTGAAAGGTACATGAGAAAAATCTGTGTCAACCCTCTTGTGACAAAAAGTCGTCAGTTTAATGAGTTTACTGGTGACAAGGTGATGTTAAACTTCTCACATGCAGCTCGATAACACACTCTTGTCTGAATGAAGGGAAGAAACCTGACAGTGTTTCCTGTTTTACCTCTTCTCTTCTCCATCACACGTTGCTTATCCATCCATTGAGTCATCACCCTACTCCATCCATGCATCATGCACAACCACCTCTTCTGCTTCTCACAGTCTCTTCTTCTCTCTATCACTTCAGGAGCACAGTGACCACTCCCTTCCCTCCCCAGTGTCCTCCTCCATCTTCTACTACTCCCTTGACCAGGAACTACACCACCCACAACCCTCCATCAGCTCTCCCTCAGCGGGCGCTCAGCCTCACACTGGACTCGCACCAGGACAACTTCCTGGGCCTGCTGCCGTGGAGGTTGAGCGGCGTCCAGTCTGTGATGATGCCCCTCCCTTCGGCGCGTTCCCGTCTGTCGCTGCAGGAGACGGTGCAGTCCTCAAAGTAACAAAGAAGGACGAGTCGCTGTGGAAACGCCGCAGCAAAACTGGCAAACTGGGGTTTGTTGGCAGAGATGGTGGGGAGGGGCACAGTTGTTGCCCCACTGAGAATTCTGACCAGCAGATTACCCTAGTTTGATGAGGATGATGTCTGACAATCTCTAAAGGACACACAAACATATACACAAGCTCCATGTGCTGAGACTGCTCTGTGTGCCGATTGGCCACATGATCCTCCTGCAAAGTGTCCTAGGACCAGCTTTTTGTATGTGCACACGTGGGATAGGACTTTCTTCCTCTGCTGTTTGTTTTCTCTTCACTTTTGTCTTCCTATGTATTATTACTACTATTATTATTATTTACAAGATATTGCTGCAATGCAAAACCTTCAGCACTGTACAGTGACGTTTTGACACGTTTCAGCAGAACAAGAGCTACGAAGCCCACTCACCTCAGAGTGATGAGCAGGTTTCGTGATTCATGTCAGAACAGACTAACCAAAGTTTGCAGTCACATGGTTTTTGTGCAGCAGCAGCAGCAGCTCAGACGTTAGAGGCCGTCAGATGCTGCTAACAGAGTGACTAATCCAGCTACTCGGTTTGTCTGTCAAGACTTGACTGTCTTATCCTGGATTTCCACCAGAGAACCTGGCCTTGAGTAGAGAATGGTCCTCCTGTCAGTCAGATGTTGTTTTATTGCTTTAGAACTCTAAAGTCCAGATTCAGTGAAGCTGCATTTCAACAGAGGTCCGCACAGTGTCTGGTTTTTAACTTAATGACTAAGAAATATTGTATTTGCCAACTACTGTTACAAAATAAGAGGGAAACAACTTGTTCCCAATGTCATTGTCTTTTTGAGGTTGATTAATGGATTTTAAAACTAACTCGTAAGCCATTACCTTATAGGATTTTATCATTATTAGGGCTACAAATTAGATTTGTTTTTAGGGAGAAACATTTTTTTTAAAAAAAGCAAAAACATGATATTTTACAAAGGCAAAATCAGCAGCATGACTTTGAGAAGGGACATGACACTGTGTGCTCTCCAAACCTGCAGAGAATCTGGGCTTAAGTAAGCATTTAAAGGCTTTAGGTGTTTAAGACAACTTATATGGTATAAATACAAAGCATTCACTGTTGTGGACTGATGTGTAGAAGAGATGATTTTCATTGTGCTCACCAGCGTTGCTCACCTCCTGCACGACACACTCCTGTTACCGCTCCTTGTTAAACTCAGTCAGATGGCAATGTGTTTGTTTTTAGTGGTAGGGAGGCACCAAATCTAACCATTGTTGTTGTTTTTAGATCTGTAAATGTTGGACCTCAGTGCTCAAGCTGGAATGGAGATTAAAAAAAAATCCATGTTCCTGTTTGTTTCCAGCTGCGAGTGCTGCTCGCTCTGTGTTGAGACTGGTTGTGGGTAGTTTTTGTTTGTTTTGTTCTAATGTGCTTTTAGTTTTGATGATTTTATTTTTGACAGCAACAAGATGCTTTTGAGGGAAAAGAAAATCTACATACATGTGTTGTTTACTGACTTTTCTAAACACGTGTGCATGACTGCATGCACACACACACACACACACACACACACACACACACCCTCACCCCACCCCCAACCCTTTTCCCTGTTCAACATAAGCTGGGTAAAGTGCCTGCATTGTTCTTTCTGAACAGATGATAAGAAAAACATGACAACCTGTTTTGACCCTTTTAGTGTGAACTTGATTCTAAGGCCATGTGCTCTATTTATTAAAAGAAATTTGAAAGTCATTTTAACTGGACTCTGGTGCCTTGTGGCTTGAAGAGGTGCACTGATCTAAGAGCAAATGTTGCTTCTTATGTCAGAGTTTGGGTTCACGGAAGAAAGTAACATCTTGCAGTTTAAAAACAGTTAATACTCACAGACCTCCCTCCTCCGTCTGTGGCTTCGCCACTACCTCCTGGAAACCTAACTCCTTTGAGTTTCACATTTTTTTCCAGAGAGAATTTCCTAGAACATCTGGACACTATACTTTGCAAGCAGTGTTTCTTAAACAGGAGGAAATTTGTTGGCAACTATTTTCAGCAGGGGATTAATATATATTTGGTTGTAGAGGAAGTATTCAGATCTTCACGTAGGATTAGAAATGCTATAATAATACAAGGATAAGTAAAAGCCCTGCTTTGAAGAAGTGTTGAGAAATTACTGAAACTATCAGTCCTCATGAATAAAAACAGCCCATGTGAGTGTGCATCCACTAGGTGTCAATGTTTCCAAATACTGTAAATTTCCGATACTGTTTTTCCCTCATTTCAGGCAGTTTGCCCTGATTTGTGGTGGATGGAAGCCTCCATTCTTCATGCTATCATCTCATTGGGTGGAGGCTCCCAGATAAACTCTTCAGAGGCGGTTCTTGGTTATTAGGTCATAATATCTGGACGAAGGCTGCAGAGCATCAAGAGCATCAGTCATGTCCCACACAGTGAATAGCTGCACAAGATGAACATCATCGAGGCAGAATGTGATGAAAAACATAGTGCTCCATCTCTGTTGGGTACACTGAGCAGTCCAGTTTGAATTGGTGCAGCCTCCTGGAGAAGTTATTGCTACAACTTCCAACATGACATGGCTCACTGGGAGCTGATATCGTTAGTAACACCATGCTTTGACAAATTAAATCTATGAAAACAAACCAATATACAAGAAAAACAGACAATGATAAAAGACCCAAAGCAAAACAGATACAATATAAATGTTAAGTACAAGTGTAATGGATATGGGTGTTATTTAGGTTAATATGCCAAAACTGAATTAAGATGCAAATGTGAGCCTCACCAGGATGCATACACTGCATTCACTTTGTTACGTAACATCTGTCCTTCTCCAGCTGTTACAGTCCGTTTAAAATATTTCCACATCAGGTTCAGTTTAGGTGGAGTCCTGCTGCCTTAAACAGGAACTCCCTTAAATGACCCTCAGTTATTTGTTCCTGAGAATAGCTGGCCAAACGGAGACACAGACGCGTCTCGTCCAGATGTTTCCAGCAGAGTGTAATATCAAAAAAACATCTGAGGTATTTCTTCCATTTTACACTTCTATTTTGATTGTAGGTTAACCTCTTAAAAGTGAAAATGTTTTGTTGAAGCTCCTGTAAGAACCTAATCCTCACTTGTATGTCCAGCAAACATGTAATCTGCATTTATGTCTGTGTTGTTTACAGACTCTCAAGTATTTCACTGTGATTCATCTCCAAGTGGATTTGTAGGTTTCTCCACCTTTTATGTTGTTGTTGAATGCAGAGTATTTGGATTGTACATTAAATCAAGAAACATGTAAACTCGGTTTTGAGAACCCTGATCTTAAAAAGGAACGGTGTATTTCCCATGATTCATTGTATAATCAGAAAGCTCCTGTCTAGAGCTCTGACAGAGGTTCACTCCATGTCGGCCTCATGGCTCAACCAAAGACCAGCTTAATCCAGAACCAAAGAACAGGATGTTCAGAGGCTCATTTGGAGTGAGCAGCCTCCATATTGGTTGCTCTGGTCACATGATCCACCTGTTCTGCTTGTACAAAAGGCTCTGAAAGCTTCCAAAAATTATGCTTGGATACAAGATGGGCGCCCTGACCAGCAGACTGCTGTCACTATTTCAAGTGGGCCCCTCCTAATAGACTCTAGAGGAAAGAACCCAGCAACATGGGTGTAGTAAACAGTGATTATTCCTTTATGCTTGATGCACCTAAACCTCAGCAGACATTTTCCAGACACCTGGAAATCCTGGAAAATTCATATCACACTGACCTAAACTCCAAAAGACCTAGCAGCAACTGGACACGAGGCCGAGAGGATCCAAGGGGTTAGCACAGTGACAACACATCATCTGATGTGGATCTGATATTTCTGCGATCACTCATTTGCCTTCACATCTGAAGCCACAAACATGATGCGGCGGGGAACCAGCTAAGGAGCTCTTAAATGACGGCTTCACTGGGAGGAGGCCTGAGTCATCTGAGAGATAAACACACTCAGACCTACACAGAAGAACGCTGGACAGCTGCATGTTAACGGAGGCCAGATCCAACTTTGGTTTCTTTTTTATGTTTACCACGGTCAGAGAGGGAGCCCACTGTGCCTGGAGCTTGTTGCTCATTCTGACTCATCTTACATTTTGTATTACTCACTGAAAACATCTTCAAATAATGTTTCCAAGGTCAAGAATGAGCTTTCAATATTGACTTTTGATTAGAAGTCCAGTGAATGATACAAAACAAAACATGAGAGCAATGCAAGACCCAACAGCTGAGGAAGATGGTGCAATA